AGGGCTGTTTTCCTTTATGATTTCCTGAAAGATACTATCCAGGCTCTTTTTTTCATCGTGATTTTCAGGTAGACCAATAATTTTAAAATTGTCTCTCCTGGATTGATTTTCCAATTGTTTTACCAATGAGGTATTTTACATTTTCATCAATTTTTTCATTCTTTTGTTTTTGTTTGACCGATTCTTGCTCTCTCATAGAGTCATTAGCTTCCATTTGCCCAATTCTAATTTTTAACAAATTGTTTTCTTCTATTAGATTTTGTGCCTCTTTCCCCACTTGGCCAATTGTATTTTTTAGGGACTTGTTGTCTTCAGTGTACTTTTTTTCCAGTTGGCCAACAGTATTTTTTAAGGACTTGTTTTCTACAGTTAATTTTTGTCCTTCCTTTTTTCCAAGTTATTGACTCTCTCTTGTATACCTCTCACTTCTCTTTCCATTTTTTTCTTCTACCTCTCTCATTTGACTTTTAAAATCCTTCTTGAGCTCTTCTAAGAAGGCTTTTTGGCCTTCAGACCAGTTCATATTCCCTTTTGAGGTTCCAGATGTGGGTTTGTTGACAACATTGTCCTCTTCAGAATTTCTGCCTTCATCTTCACTGTTCCCATAATATGAATCTATCATACGTTTCTTTTTGCTCATGGTGTTTGCTTATTTCCTGGCCTTTAAAGAGACTGAGTTCTCCTGCTGGGGAGCAGAGGGCACTGACCCAAGCTTCTTGTATTGGGAACCCAGGGCCCGGCTTTGTGTGCTGGGGCCTCCAATGTTGGCAGTTGGAGGCTGTAGGGTTCTGGCAGCTTACCTGGTGTTGGGCTGGAATAAGCAACACTAAAATTCCAGGGGTAGGATTGGGTAGTGTGGCTCTGGAGATTTCCTGCTCCACAGGGCCTTTCCTTCCTTTTGATTTCTTCAGCTCCTTTCAGATGGATGTTGCAGGATGTTTATTCGCCTGGGGCCCCTTGGAGTGCTGCTTCCCTTAGTTTTGCTGAGGCACTGGGAGAGCCAGTTGCTGAAGAATGCTGGGGTATCTGGTGGTTTTCCACTGGTTCCCCCACCCTCACTGAGGCATTGGGGGTCCAGGTGTTAGCGTTTGCCTGCTGCACCACCTGGGTTTCAGGATCTCCTCCTGGTATGCTGAGGTGGGGCTTTCTGCTAGCTTGCTGGGTCTCCTCCAGTTCTGTACTGCTTCCCTTCCCCCAGGGTAAGAGAGGCATTTCTTGTTAATCCCTCAAGCAACCTGGGCTACCAGACTGCTGCATCCCACCCTTCTTCTGGTTCAGCTGTTCCAGGGTTTTTCCTGGGGTGATATTTTCTGTGCTTTCAGAAGTTAATACGGGAGGGTAAGAGCAACTTATTTCTTACTCCACCATCTTGGTTCCTGGAAGCAGAACTCCAACCACCAACATATTTAAATGATCAGTAATTTTGTAGTTGTGAACACTTGTTTCTGATGTAGATTGACACACTTATATAACTTAAGTCAGTGGTCTTTTAAGAGTTGGTATGCACCTGCTGGCTAACCTCTCCAGACAAATATAGGCTGCTTTCCAACAACATATATAATGTTCCATATCCATCATTCAGCATCACTTACCTGCATTCACAGCCTTTCCAGTTTGGTAGGAAAGTCTATGCTCTCCTGACAGTGGGAGGAAGTATAATACAGGGTAAAATGCATTGGTTGTAGAGATAGAAGACCTGGGTTCAAATCTGTCCTCTGATTATCCTATGAATTTGAACAGGACACAACTTCCCAAGGCCTCAATTACCTCTCATCTGAAATGGGATGAACTAGATGTCCTCTCAGGGTTCGAGGTCTGTGATGAGAATGTAGGGTCACTTTGAAACGGTTTGATTTTAGGGTAAGTGGAAAATAGGAAGCAAGAATATTACCTATAGTTTCTTTTTCTCTATTTGGGCAAAAGTTAACTATAAAAAGTCATTTTGGTAGCTTTGTTTCTTTTGTTGTTACAGGCAAAGGGGAACTTCCCCCACCACTTTAAGCAGGACTTACTGGTCCAAATGCATGTTGGTCAATAAAGGAAGGGTTTCATGTGAACCAACTACTCAGCTCTAGACTATATTACTAGTCTTAAATAAGCACTAACTTCTTTGTGGATCAATGTCTTAGATTCATTTTACTTTTTATTGACTTTCCTCAAAGCTCTCACATTTAACTTTTCTGAGGATGTAGATTTAGTTATATGGATTATATTATCTTTGCATCTTAGAATGCATTCAATTTTATTCATGATTACTGGGTGATCTATGCCATCTAGTGGGAACTAAAGATACGAACTACATGTTTGATGTCCAAATTCCAACTTATCTCTAAATCCTAGGAGCTCAATAGTTGGTCAAATAGGATCTTCAGAATTCATGAGATAAGAATGATTTCTGCATAAAATAACTAATTCCTATACTCACAACTCCACTGGTGTTTCAAAGCAACTAGTTGTGCAGTGGTTAGAACACTGGACCTGGAGTCAGGAAGACTTAAGTTCAAATCTAGCCTTAGACATATACTAGCTGTGTGACCCTGGGCAAGTCACTTAACTTCTATTTAACCTCAACAGTACAATGGGAATAATTAGCACCAACCTCCCAGGGTTGTTGTGAGGATCAAATAAGGTAATATTTGTAAAGTGCTTAGTGTAGTGCCTGGCAAACAGTAGGTGCTATATAAATTTGAGCTATTATCAGGATAACAATGATGATACTGGTTGACATCATTTTGAATTTACTTTTAAAAGTGGAGTATAGCTCTCTGAGCTCCAGCCCTGCAACTGGCAACATGGCTAAATGTAACAAGAAGGTCAGAATTGTTGGTAAACATGGAACACGTTATGGTGCATCCCTCAGAAAAATGGTGAAGAAAATTGAAATTAGCCAGCATGCCAAGTATACCTGCTCCTTCTGTGGCAAGACTAAAATGAAGAGACGGGGTGTGGGTATCTGGCATTGTGGATCCTGTATGAAGACAGTAGCTGGTGGTGCATGGACCTACAATACCACCTCTGCATTTACAGTCAAATCTGCCATCAGAAGACTGAAGGAATTGAAAAACCAGTAAAATCTTCTTATCAAATATCTGTAGCCCATAGTTCAACAATAAATGGGCTAATTTGTGGAATAAAAATTAAAAAAATAAATAAAAAAATAAAAGTGAAGTATAATGGACAGAGAGCTAACCTGAAAGCCAGGAAGATCAGGCTTCACATCCTGCCCCTGAGATACTAGCTGGGTGAAGAAAAAGTCATTTAACTTCTCAGTTCTCTAAAACAATCTCTAAGACTCCAAGTTGCAGAGAAATTTCCTCACCTGGGAATTCCCTACAGTGGTTCTCTGTGGTCCAGGCCCATGAGACACTTTCAGGGAGTCTGGGAGGCCAAAATTATTTTCATCATAATGCCGAGGTATTTTAATTTCTAACACAGTATATATCAATGGTTATAACCCGCATAAATAAAAGTTCTCTCAGAAGAAGGGGGAGGTCCTCAATAATTTTTAAAAATGTAAGGGGGGCACTCTGAGACCAAAAAGTTTGAGAAACATTGCTCCATACCACTCAAGTCGGAGGTCCAGTCCTTCTCCTTAATAACAATCTCCAATGGCTCTTCAAGATGCAGAAGTGGCCCTAGATTAGGACCAAGTGGAAAGGACACATCAAGATTTCTATTAACAAACCCTTCTCTCAATCATTCAGTGAAGGGGAGTCACCACAGTACACATGACCTAAGAAAATGCTCTATAATGGTTTTCTTGTGGTTGGAGACAACAAAGCAGAAAGATTAGAAGGGATCGGTAAGACAGCAGTAGAGAGGAGGAAAAAGGCATATGTGGGTTATAAAAGAGAAGCATGGAGTTTTGAGGATTACAGTGGTTCTCTGCCATAATCACCTGTGGTACAGGATAGACAGATGAGACAACCTTCATGCCCTTGCTTTTGATGGAATTTCCCCTCTTTTCTGGAAAAAAAAATTCATTGCAGAAAAATCCACCTGGCCCAGGAGGTGGGGGCAGATGAGAAAGCTCCAAGGAACAGTTTCATGGAAACATAGATTACAGGCCCTTTTAGCACCCCAATTCTCACCTTCATAATATCTGTATATCTTCACTGAATTTCAAGTTCTTGTCATCTATGTACATGTAAATGCCTTATTGGGTCTGAATCTGTGTTTCTGTTTATATGGAGAACTAGGGAGAAAACTTGCCTGACTGGTGCAGATGGTTATCTGTTCTGCAACATAACATATTAGAGCTTAATAGTGGTTTACCTGAGCCTGAACCACTCCTTGGAAACTTACTGGGTGACCCTGGGCAAGTCCCCTAACCTCTCTCAGTCTCAGTTTCCTCAGCTATAAAAGAAATAATAAGAGCATCAATTTCATAGAGGATAATAATAGCATTTATCTCATAGAAATGAGATCTACTTAAAAGCACTTTGCAAACCTTAAAGGACAATATAATTACTAGCCATTATCATTATACAGAGCTTTGCCAGGAGGGGAGGGAGGATATTGAGAAATGAAAGTGACTTGCTCACAGCAACAAAGCTAGTATGTGTCAGAAGCAGAACAGGAACCCAGGTTTTTATCTTGAAGTTCAGGTTTCTATCCATTGTGCCATGCTGCCTCTTATTTATATATCCTTATAAAATTATCAATGAAAATATATATATTTTACTACTTATTCAAGTAACACTTAAACTAGAAAGAGTAAAGTTACTTAAAATTATTCTAGCAGTCATAGAAAAGTTATAATTTTAAAAAAAAGGGTGGCTTATTTGCATTAAAACAAACAACTATCTAAAACTTCCTAAGTAAACCACAAGGGGTTTATGAACTAGAAAACAATGTAGAGCTGGTGCATATAAGCTGTTCCTTATAGATGAGTATGAAAGTTATAATATTGTATCATCAGAAAGCTGGCATAAAGTGAAATATTTTATAAAACAAGCAAGCTAAGTCAGTTTCTTTGCACACATGTTTTTATTAAACAAGGCTGGTAATGGAACGTCTTTTTTTTTTTGTTTGTTTGTTTAATGAATAAACATAAGTCCCTTTATTACAGAAACTGTATTCATTGGTAAGTATGGTCACATCTATATGGGTTAAATCTTTTAAAATTATAATCAATAATTAGCATAGAATTTATTATCTCTTCATTACATTGTGAAGTGTCTTGTGTAGTCATATTCTATTGTTGGAATGACCGCTTGTACAAATTTCAGGAAAATGAGAAGATACCTAAAGGAATTTAGCTAAGGAAAATAAGATCTATAAACAGGTTACTTGTTTTTCAGGTAACGATACTAGTGGATTTAATAAACAGTACCATATCATAAGGAACATGGTTGATACTAAAAAATAAATATTTCAACAATTATCAAATTGCAATTTCCATATCTATTCCAAACTGAAGGTTCTATTGCTTTTAATATCTATGACCACTTGATCCCATTCAGTACCTTTAAGCTTTGAAAGGAACTAATAAGGTTCATAGTTTCTATTTTTTAAATCTGAAGCAAGAACAAGGGAGAATCATTCCTTTAAAAAAAAAAGGAAGAAGATGGTCGCCTAACTTCAGAAAACTAGAGGACAGACTTAATATCTGAGATGGAAGGATCACAGAAAAGGAGAATAAAAATTAGAAAATAAGAGATACTATGGGATATAAAAAGCACTGAAGCAACGTGAAAAGCAATTAATTAAAAATATTTAATTAGAAGATTCCTAAACTGAATGGCTTCAATGAAATCTAGCAGCCAACATGCAAACTCAAACCACATAAAGCTTATTGACTTTCCATGGTATGATGGTTCTACCTAAAACACCAGAATGTGGTCAGCATCAGTTCAATAAAGGTTTTGCTGGAGGATCTATTTTAGTGGCCAGGTCCAGGATGTCTTCTGCCCAAGTTCACTGGGAACATGGACTGACTTACTGGTATCTCGCCAATAGTAAAACAAACAAACCAAACACTAGATGACATGGAGGTGGATACAAGGAAAGGCTGGCACCATAATCTAAGCTAAGAAATTTAGATTACTGCCTTGGAAGTTTCTATTGCCACTGAACTACTGTGCAGTGAACAGTAATAATCATCGATGAGTTCATATGTTTTGGCATCTCTATGTGCTGTACTTTCACTCAACAACTTCAGAGCAATTTGTCGCCCCTCCCTCCTCTTCTCCCCCCCCTTCTATCCTTCAAAGATGAGCAGGACCAATGCAGGGCCATATCCAGTCTTTCTGATCTATATCTTGCCATTGGATCCTGATGGCTCTGGAGGACAAAGTGAGCTGGTGACACTGCACAACCCTGCCTCACTGTAATCCAATTCACTTGCAAGTAATGGCATGGTGTCATGGTCCTCTTCAAGAACAAAGGACAAAAAACAACAAACAACAGGACTAATAAAGCATGGTTATGCCAATGTGCTAAACTGTAGGTATGGTTGATGGAAAAAAAGAAAATAAGTACTCTATAAGTTATCTTTTTTATATGCAGATAATATTACTGATCCACCAATCACCCTTTGACGTCTTTTTTTCCAGCATGAGTGATGAGTTTGGCAAGATATTCACATACGTTTACTTCTCTTGAACAAAAAGACACATATCTAAGTTTAGAGATCAGACCATGGCCATGGAACAAAGCAAAGTTTAACACACTGTATATTCAAAATAAATTCTAAGACCTCTCACTAGGTCTTCAAGATATAAGAGGAAATTTCTAATAGAACAGGAACTTTGTAATTTTAAAGCTATAATGTCAAATGCAAAAAAGAAAAATTCCATAAGAACTATAGATAATCTGTCAAAAAATAAACACTTCTATTAGCCAAGGATACATATGAACACCAAGTTCTCCTCCACCTTCTGCAACTGTCTCAATGATTTTTTTCATCACCTCAGCATGTCTGAAAAGCAAAACAAAACAAAAAAAAACAAAAAAACAAAAAAAACAAACAAACAACAGAGGGCAAGTATACCAAAGTGAAAAATGGCATTTTCTCAATGGCACAAGGAAGAAATCTATTAGGCTTAAAGTTATGATGTGGCTTTTTGTTTAACACACTGGTTCAGAATTACTAAGTCACTCACCTAATTTGCTTTGGAGGGAAAACGTTAGCCAAAAACAGCTAAGGACAGATACCGACATCAGATACCTCCATTATAAAAAGGCAGAGAGGAAGAGGGAGAGAATACTCCAAATGAAAGTATCCTTCAGAAGAAATGAGCTTAATGGGTGAGCTTGTCTGACATATCAGAATCAGAACTGCTGAGTTCAATCAAGCAAGGCTGTTGAGACACTATGGCTCTTAAAAGCAAAGATGGTCTCATATTGAAAAAATAAATTTAACTGTATAAAAGACAAGAATAATCTGAGATCAAGTGGGCCAAGAGAGATTGACTAAAAACAAATGCCAGAGTAGACTTTTTGGACTCCTACATTTGTTTTATTGATTTGTTTTTATTTTGGGGGGGAGGTATTCTGCACTACAAGATACTATACAATTATTTTCTTATTTAAAACTAACTTTACTTTTGTGGTAAATATGTATGCCTGTTCTCCTACCCAAAGAACAGAACCAATGTTAACTGGTGACAGCAATCAGAGGCGAATTCTACAGGAGAAACTAAAAGCACTTAACATAGTGCCCAGCACATAGTAAGTCCTTCAAAAATGTTTATTGATTGATGAATTAAAAGGACATGTCCACAAACCTCAAATCAAGAGGAAATATCTTTAAAAATTTACTTTTAGATAATTCAGGTCCAATGAGAGTTCTAAGTAACATTAGAAAATTACCAATTTTTTACCCCTCTCCTGTTGTTCATAATGACCTAGCAACAGTGAGTTGTTACATTTTTTGGATACAAAAGTAATGGAAATGAGAAGAAATGGAAAAATTTGCCACAAAAAAAAACTTCTGAATAAATTAAAGAACTTTATTCTATTACAAATATGTATGATTTACTTGAATAAACCTCTGCAATTTGTGTGTAGGTGTATTTTTTAAAGGAAGACTTGTAGGAATCATTGAAAACAGCTAATGACAACTCATGAAAACAAAAGCTTAGGTTTATGAAGCACACTCGATACGAGTTTGGCAACGAGTGTGCTTAAATCACACTTAGCATTTGTTTTCCTTGTTCATGCTTTGTTCTTACTTGTGTATCCTGTTTTGAAGCAGAAATTAGTATTTGTTCATTATGTATTATTTTAATTAAAATATTTTTATAGGAAAAGGATGGCTCTCAGAGCACTGCTTTTTTTCCCCACTTACTCAGACCTGAATTAAGTTGAACCGCTGGTTCTGTAAGAATATCCTAAACCAAGATGTAAAACAAAAACAAAAAACCAGGAGAGCCCCTAATACTTTTGCCTTCTATGCCCTAACCTAATCTAGTGTCAAATATATGCACAATATATAAAAGGTAATGTTTTTCACTTGTGTCCAAATTGATGTAACTTTATACCTACATCAGATGCCCCAGATCCTCAACATTACAAATAGTGCTAAAACAGCCTCAGGGGGTTATAAACTAGGAAGCTTTGGCTGGGAACCTAAAGGTGGAGAAAGAGGTCTGAATGGTAACAACTCACAGACCAGCCTGTTTTCTTCATGTATGCCAATTTAACAAGTAACAGATTCAAATATTAAAACTTTATGTATTTTCTTTTAAATGCCTATACTAAAACAATCTAGACTGTTCCAAAATAATCTATTAAAAATAGTCATAAAACATGAAAGTTTTTTCTATTCTTTAGAGACACAAAAATGGTAGCTATGAAGCCCACAATTCAAGAGCCTAGTGATATACTTGTGAGCTAGGACACATACACAAACTAAGAGAAGCTGAACAAAAATGTATAAATGTTCATTCATTTCAGTCATGTGTGACTCCTTGTGACCCCATTTGGGGTTTTATTGGCAAACTGGAGTTATTTGCCATTTCCTTCTCCAGCTCATTTTACAGATGAGGAAACTGAAACAAATAGGGTTAAGTGACTTGCCCAGGGTCACACAGTTAGTAAGTGTTTGAGGCTGCATTTGTACTCAGGTCTTCCTGATTCCAGGCCCAGTGCTCTATCTACTATACCACCTAGTTGTCCTAAAATGTGTAAAGACAAACTGATTAATATTAATAAACTGAACAGGAAAGAATTGTTTTTCTTTTGTCTGTGTTTAACAGATTAAACAAATGATCATTTTTGAGGAAAGGGAAATAAAATCTCATTCGTCTAACAAGTCTAGGTTTCTGCATCTATGGAACAAAAAGGTTCCCAGGACATTCATCTGTGCATTATAAGACTTGCAAAAGAAATCAAACATACCTGCATGGGTGAACTGAACACATGGGAGGTGGTGGAAGATGAGGGTGATTTTCGATGGTCACTGTTTTCTTCACATGATCTTGACTGATGTCTTCATACATATGTTCTACTGTTAAAGGTTGCCGTTGCTGAAGGCCCAGAGTATGTTTTGAAACTGCTTAGTATCTTTTAGTTTAAGGACTGCTATCTATGACAGGCTTAAAACTTCCCCAAATACTCTACAATTTTCATTTCCCCTCCTTTAATCTCCAGATTCTGCTTTTGAAAAAATTTATTCACCTATGGTCAAAGAAAATGCCTTCAAAGCCAAGGAAAGTGACCATAAAGGCTACCTTTGTGGATACAGGAGGCACACTGATAAAACACAACAATTCTTTACCTCCAATTTATTTTGATCCACTACTTTCTCTGTACTATTCCTTTGAGTGTACGTTGTGTTTTCTTTTATTTCAGTAAGACAAACATTTAAGAAGGCTTGAGCAAAAAACCAGAACCACGTGACCTTATGGAAAACTGCTATAGTAGAGTGGCAAATCCCAGATATTAGTCCTGGCTCTGCTACATACTGGGGATGTGAATGTGGGCAAGTTCCCTCAGATCTCTGAGCTACAGCCTCCTCATCTGTAAATCTGGGGGCAATAAGACTCATACTACCTTACACAGATGTTATAAGAAAAGTACTTTCAAAATTATAAGGTGCTATAAGGTTCTATATTACTAAAAGATTTCTCTTATTTTTAACACCAAATCTAGGGGAAAAAACTAACTTTGATTTTCTCTCAAATTTTGGAAATAAAAGTTCAAACATATATCAGGTGGAACCAAGTTGCTCATAAGTAATAAAATAGTGATCTATATGTGTTTAAAACATTATTAATATAGTCTTACATAGCTGAATTTATAGTTCCTTCAAAATACAAATCCAAGTTCAAATAGTATTAGGTATTAGATTCATGAAGTCATAAAAATTAGGCATATGAGAACAAAAAAAACAAATCTACCATCAATGCAAATTATTTTCATTTAAAAATATTTCCTTATAGGTTTACCTCATCATAACCAAATAACCAGAGTCTTGGAGTCTGGTAATATTTGTCATATGTGATATAAAGATCATAAGTTCTGGTTTGTAAAATAGCATCTTCACTTCCAGCATCATTTTTAGCTTTGTTAGCTTCTACTATTTTTCTTGTGTCCAGAGTAGCCTGAGGTATAATGCCAAACAAAAACAAAAAACAAAAAAAAGAAAGAATAAAAAAAAATGGTATTAGTAAATGAGATAACATGCTCTGAAAACCCTAAAACATTATATAAATGCTAGCCATTATTTATGACAAATCCTAGAAATTGTTTCTTCTACCCTGTCTGTTTCCTTTATATTTACCTCATTTTCTCAAAGGGAAATGATTTAAGTCAAAATTAAAACTTCTCATTAGAAATTTTAAAGGTTATAAGAATGTGGATTTATGAAAGATTCTTTGGAAGATGAACAGACCTACTAAAAAAATACCAATCAAAAAGCCCATTTACGAACCTCATCTGTCTCCAAGAGTCCACTCTCTTCATATTCTGTTAGGAAAAGCAAAATACAACTAATGAAAATAAGGATTAAAAATTTACCAAGTAAAAAACAATACATCATCATTTTGGTGTATCAAAGAAAAAAAATGTTTTAAAACACAGTAAGAAAAATCCTCTCCTGAAGTTCCACTCCAACGCCTCATTGTAATGTGAAGTTAACCTGGGCCCTCACAAGGTCATCTGCAGAGCACAAGCTGACATTCCTTCAACCAAGCTGGAAAAGCTCAAGCACAGAACCTCTGAGCAGAATGTTTTGTTTTCTAAGGATGACTAGCTCATTTGGAGAGACTTATTCACCAAGATTTTGGCCATGAGATACTGACTTTTTTTTTAGAGCCCAGCAACTCACAAACTACTAAAATATATTTAGACTGCTGCAATCTGCATTACTGGAGGAAATACTACTCCAATACAATCATGAATCTTTAAAATACTGATGTAAACAGAAAAAGGATGGGTTGATAACATACTACTCTTACACAAATTTCATCCACCTGGTAAAAGACAGAATAAAACATCTGGAACCTTTTAGCCTGGTATAGATCATAGCTCATTAAGAACAACTAGCATGACAAAGCTGAAGATACACTTTCTCCACTGGTCATTACACTTAAGATATAATGTGTTAGTTCCAGAATCACAAAACAGGAAGATGTTTTCAGTCTTCTTTGTAAACTAGGAAACAGCCAGATTATGCAAGGTTTCTGACGAAAGAACACAAATTTTTAACCATGTGATTCGGCAAATAAGCACAACCCCCCATAAGGCAGTAAAGTATAACTTATTACTTCTTTATGTGATAACAGCATTAATTTATTACATGAATAGTGTGTGTGTGCACACACATATGTGGAGAGAGACAGAGAGAGTTCTCATTTAACATAAATCATATTACATGAATTCAATTTTACATAAAGAATTCTTCCAAAAAAACACCTATCGTCACTTGACTGTACAGTACTGTGGTCTCTCTCTACATTCTGCCTCCGCTCAGTGCTCTGTGGTCTCTCACTCCCTTCCACTAACAAAAAAAAAAAAACCGTCCAAGTGAAAGAAGAAGAAGAGAGGCATGGAAAGATGCGCCTGACTGGATGGGGAGGAAGGGAGGTTTAGCTAGAGACCTCAGGTGTCAAGAGAAGCTACCTTTTCCTGCTCCCCCCACTTGCCTTAATGTCTCTTCCCCATCTGTCTTCCAGCAATCCATGCTGGGATACACCTGTCCCCAGCCCTGAGTGTTCCCTCTCCTGCTCTTGCTTCTGGCCTCAGTTCCCACTTGTCTTGAACCCTGTGCAGACTCCATCCCTCCACAGGTCTGTGGCCTCTTTCCTGCCTCCTTCCAAAGTCTGCAGGCAAATTCACATCATGTACCTTTCTATACTATATTACATTTCAAGAATGTTACATCTACCATATACATCATTCTCAAATTAGTATTCTATAATGATTCAATCAAATCCAAAGGAAAAATACCTTCCATATCTGCTGCTTCTCCCTCATCTTCCTCTTCTTCCTCATCACATAAAGCTGAGCAGTCTTGTTTTATACTATCCTTTGAAAATCACATTTAAAGCCAATTATAGTACAATGTAAAAAAATCATTTAAAAACAAGAAGAGTGTCAATAAAATAGAAAATATTTTCAGTTTATCTAGTCCCTTGTGAGAAAAAAAATTAAGTTAAACTATATCTCTGACATAATTTATCTCAGGGTGAAATAAATATCTTGTAGTAAGTACTACAAAATTACTTACCTGTTAAATTCCCAACAATATCCTATTTCTAACTAAAGCAAAAATTATCCTTAATTGCAACACTTTAGATGTTTAAAGCCATAGACTTAAGTCTTCCTTAATTAATTCTTTTGCTGCAACAACACTGTTTACCATGTATGGTTGAAGCTACATATGCTCCACAAAGAACCATCATTTTTACATGGCTGATATTCAGTAAATCTGAATTGAGTATAATAAACATGATAAATTCTAAATCTAGATTCATCTGCCTTATCATTTTACCTATTCTGCTTGCCAATTAAAATAAGTGCTATTAGGTTATTTTTTAATGACAAAGTATCTCAAACAAAAGTGAATCTGCAAATGAGGAAACATCTGGCAAATGATTACAATGTGAGATATTTTATCCCACACGCTAGGAATAGTGTACAAACCTGGATGAAAGTGAAACCTCAATAGAAAGTAGAAATATTCATAGCAGTGGTCTATTCATGCCTGGAAAAATGTATTTGCTTGCAATAACCAGATGATGAATGACAGAAGTTGTTTGCCAAATGCAAAATAGAGATAGAAGCAAGGAAAGATTATCCTAGTGAACAGAAACTACTCCTAAAAATGCAGGGTCATCAGTGTAAAACTTTTAACTAGCTCTTCATCACCTCTTTAAAAAGAGGTTTGTCAATGTTAACTTCCAAGAGTTACTTATCAGTCAGTACAAAGCTTTAATCTAAGGGAAATCTAAAGTTCTGTCATGCAGAAGTTTAAAAATAAATTTTAACAAATTTTCTATTAAACCCAGCATAATATGCAAGAAATAATGGATCAACATTACACCAAAATAAAGGAAAGGTCTATTGCTAAATGTATGAAAATGAGACATGACTATTTGCCTACGATTATAAATTCAGACGTTCTTTTTATCAGGTATCTCTAATCATGTCAGAATAAGTGAGCAGCTCTCTCTATATTATATATATATGTACATGCATACATACATATATATGTATAGTAGGGACTGTATAATTTTTTGAAGTGTGGTTTTTACATGGTTGAAAAAAGCAATATTAAAATAACAACCACACATCTCTCTAATTTAGAATTGGCTAGATGGTATAGCATATCCATTTATTAAGTAAAATCCTCAGCATAGGACAATTATCTACTAATCTGAATATCCTTCCACCAAAAAATTTAATAAAAGAAAATATATTTACTGTAAAGTAAATCCTCACTAATTTGAAGTAACTTCTTCATAATTTGTGATAATTTTTAACAATCACTAAGCTAAAGTGAACTTTTTCAGTCTCTAGGAAGAAAATGTTTGCTAAATTAAACCTCCTAACCAAGATAGATTTAGGAAAATAAGGAGAAGAGCTTAGAAGGAAACAATAAAAGTTTTATACATGAAGAAAAAAAAATTATAAAAAAAGCTGAATTTTGATAGTAGATTAGTCCAACATTTGAATTAGATAAATTAATGTAAGAATTTTTCTTAAAAAAAATTAACATAATCTTCAGATTAAATAAGAAATGAAACTAATACCTTGCTTTCCAGGGTAATCTCCTTAACTACTTCTGTCACTCCTGTAATACCTATAAAATTCAACAGGTCAGAATTACTAATATTAGATTAAAAATCTTCCATTATCTGATATGAATATAGATTCTTTTGTTTAAAGGAGCCAAAATACTTTAAAAATACTAATGAAATCCTCACAATTTCCTTAAAAATTAAGGAGATAAACTTCACTGTACAAACATAGGCATTTGAAGCCCAATGACATGTTATATCTTATAATTAATAAAACTATGTCCACTCACTCATAATCCTCTATTATTTCTCAATTAGTTTTACATGCTAAAATAACTTATTCTATCACGGATATTTCTATTAACAGATTAAAAGTCTAAAATACATTCCTCTATATCTTAAACTCATTTCCAAAAGATTTTCCTAACAAAATTTGAGCTACTGATTCAGAAGAATATAAGTAATCCTAGATATATGTAAATAGAGACACTCTACAATCTTTAGGACATAGGTATGTTGAGAAGAATACTCTAAAAAGACGTTCAGTTTTTGAGTCAAATAGCTGGCAGCAATAAGCTATTTGATATTGTTTCCAAGTTAGAAATATCTGCCAACATTTTTGACTAGATGCTTTGACAAGAATGGAAAGAAAATGCACAATAGGGAACCAGAATCTCTAAAGTCATTCAAAGCCAACTGCCAACTGTCTTTAGTGTCTATACCATTCTGAAAATACTTGGATATATCAACCCCCTAAATGCCTGCACTAAAGGCTATGGGCACAACCACTACTACTCTAGAATAAAGATTCTACTGGTAGCTGGGTTTGTTAGCAGTGGTGAAATAATGGACAGACATTATAAAATTCATTATAAATATGAAAATATTTATTATGAAATGCTTCTCTGAAATTATGCAAGAGCTAAACGTACTTTTATTCCCTTAAAAAAAGTGATTCAATCTAATCCCAATTCAATCAAAATTCTTTAAAAGTAGAACTACCACTGATAATCGCAAGAGAGAATAGGCTGAAATTACTCTCACATATAAGGTTACATTCTCAAGGGCTGTTGGAAAAACTACATGGCATTAAAAAATCAGTTTTAGAATTTAAGGTCAAAGATATTTTCTCTAAAAATTAGTTTTCTATACACATGCAAATACATTATCAAAAAAGAAATTGAGTGGCCTTTCACATACAAAAATGATACTTTTGGGCCATCACCATAGAATCTCAGAGCTGGAAGGGACCCAGGAAATCATCTATCACAATCCCTACCTGAAGCATGAACCATCTAAACAATAATTGGTTTCTGCTTGAAGACATTCAGTAACGGGGAACTTACTACTTCCTGAATGGTTAGATCAGGCACTAACCTGTCTTTCCAGTAGTGGTGATGAGTGTGCTGATTCCACTCCTTTCTGTGGCCAATGATATGCATTTGCAAAACAGTTGGCCTAAATTTGGGTCTAGCTCATGGTAACAGAATAAACTAAAACTAACTGGCTTACAAAGTGAATGAACTCAAAATCTCATCAACATTAATACAGTTGTCTCACTGAAAGAAATAATCAGAGACCAGAGGACACCTTGTAATACTTTCTCTTTGATACATCCTCCAGGCACAGTAAAATTCTAGTTTTACAAAACAGCAGCTCAAAACTTTCAGGAAAGGTTAAGAGAAAAGGAGATCCAAATGCCTAACTATTCAGTGTGGGAAAGCATGAAGATATTTTAAGCTTAAATATAGCTGTGAACTTTGGGATTAGAGGTGCTATCCAATTAAGAAAACTTAATTTACCAATGACATATAGAATAGGTATGGGAAAATAATCCCTCCCAACCTCCACCTCCCCCCACTACCCTTTGTACCCAATTTCTGAACACAGAGGTGATAACCGACCTAGAGGTATCTTCTCTTATACAGATGGAGACATATAAAGAAGTGCCTTCTCTAAGGCAGATGTAGAATTGAAGAAAGGTGCTTTTTCTCTTATGTAGACTTGGAGATGTAAAGAGCTGTCTTCTATTATGCAGAGGTGTAGAAAGCTAACAAGTTACTGAGTAGGAGGATATGTTCCTAATATCACAATTTGGGACTCAAAATGTATTTTTCCTTAGAAACAATGTTATAAATGGTAGCTAGATATAATAAATTAATACTACTAGTACCATACTTTTGCTATGTTATGGATAAAACAAGCTTAGCCATTTATAGCGTTATTTCTACGAGAAAATGATTTTCGAGTTCCAAATAACCAACTTACAACTTGTGGAAAGAGCACTGGATTTGTAGTCAGAAGACCTGGGTCCAAGTCCTGGCTCCACCACATACTGGCTGTGTGACCAAATGAGATAATATATGTAAAGAACTTTGTAACAAAGTGCTGAATAAATGTAAGCTATTATTATTTCAACTGTTGGCAAATGAACTGCTTATATTATAATGTATAGATATAGGTCAAAGCAGGACAATCAGCTGAGAATCTTTTTAAGACTCACTCAAACATCCATCAAGTGCCTACTATTTGCAAGGCACTGGGGCTAACACTTGAGATAAATAAGACATGATCCTTGACCTCAAGCAGCTTACATTCTAGAAAGGCAGTAGAGGGAGAGGTAGAGAAAGGAACACAAATAATAAAATAAATTGCAGAACTGTTGTCACTGACACAGCTATTTAAAAAAAAATAAGAAAAGGAAAATGAAGGAAGAAGAACAAACTCTAAAGAACAGCTGGGAGTACAAGTACTTTAGGAATCTAGTATTCTTTAAAGTAAAATTTTTATATCTTTTATTCCTATTTGCTTAAAAATAACAGTTCTTTGGAGGTAAAACTAAGCCTCATGAACAGTTTTTGCTTAAAGAATGCTGTACAAGATTATGAAGTTTGTTCAAATTGCATATATGCCACTCTGTTCCCATTTACTAATCACCAATTTCTTTACTTACCTGAGTTGTGATATGTATCCACCCATCCCCCATCACCATCATCTTCTTCAATTATAGCTTCCAATTCATCCGAATATTCCATTTGTTTGCACCGCTTATAGCAAGGCACTAAAAGAAAATTGACACATGCAGTTATTAACTGATCCTTTAAGGGAGTGTTTTCTCTTGCTAAATCTTCAGTCCAAAAAGGAAGAACACAAATACCATATAGATACCATATTTAAAATGCTCCTAAAAAGGGATATGTCTATACTTATTTTGCTGCATAAAACTCTTTGACTAGCAAAACTACCAGGAAAAGTGCCAGAAAAGCTTGATTTTTGGTGATACCACTATCCTACCTACCCAGACATGGAAGGCAGTGGGTTGAAAAAAGAGGTGACATTGAGGCACTTGGCTGACATTGTACAATGATGACTCTGATGTTCCACGCACGGAAACAGGAGGCAGACATGAAGAAAGAGAAAGGTACCATCTGCCAGTCAACAGGGTGGTAGAGGTGCCTTTCAGCTTGCTAGGTTGCTTTACAGAATCTCAAACTAGTTTTTTAATCATTTTACATTCATTTATTTTTTAAAGGGAATAAAACTAAGATAAAAGCACACAAAACTTCCAATGTATACTATCTCGTTAATTCAGCTGTCTAGCTATCTGCTTCTTTAAATGTTGGTTACCAACTCCTAATCTTCTCTTCCCCATAGTCTCTAAACTCTTAGATGCCATGAACATCCAAACTATCTTTGCAGTGTTATGCCAAAATCAAAATGGTTAAAGGTGAGACGCAACATACATTCTGATTTTTCATGGAATAAGTTAAGTGAAACTGGTGGAAAAAAAAAAAGAGAAGCAATTCAGAAGACTTCCTAAAGCTTCAGATAATCCATAATTATTTTTAGAGTATATAATTTCATTAGTTTTCATAACTCTTCTCAGAGTTAAGAAGGCAAGTGGAATTATATTACCAATCCATGTAAAATTAGCTTGATGAGCACAAACTTTTTTTTTGTTTCTACATTTTTGTGCAATTATGTTTATCTGATAATCCCAGAAGATTTTTTTTTTCCTTTTTGGTGAGGCAATCAGGGTTAAGTGACTTGCCCAGAGTCACACAGCTAGTAAGTGTCAAGTGTCTGAGGTCACATTTGAACTCAGGTCCTCATGACTCCAAGGCTGGAGCTCTATCCACTGCACCACCTAGCTGCCCCTAGAAGATTTATACCATTTCATTAATATAAAAAAAAAAAAACTTACCATTTTTAGTTACCAAAAATTGCTTGCCAGTTGGTAGATATGCCTTGACTTTCAATTCTTCCCCTGAAGCCCTGAAAATAGTAAAAAGTAGCAAATAAATAAATCAAAATCAACAAAAGTAAATTAGAAGGTATCATGTTTATAAGGTTGAAAATAAAGCACAGAGAATCCTTAAAAAGTTGCCTAGTATAGTGCCTTGCTGAACTAATATTATTAGTACTTTCAGAGTGTATATAAGAGAGAATTTGGAAAATATGGAATAAGCGATTTGCTTAAACATTCAACAAAGAGACAATACTTATACTAAGAACTGCATAGCTATTTTATAATGACTAGATATGCATTAACACATACCACAAAACAAATATTTAAGAGAAGGGAGCTCAAGTAAATATAAATTCAGATATAATAAGAGAGAATAATATGGAACTACTTAACAACTACTTTTGTTCTCAGAACAAAAACCATTACATCATCCATTCAGATTCTTAATCCTATTTGTTAACTTTTGAGAGAAAGACAACATAAAAGGATGTGTTGTGCCAAGTATAGTTTAGAAGGTCATCTCTACCAGATTTGCAATATATTAAGTCTCTTTCCATGTCCTTGCTTCTGAATTAAGCATCAAATTAGTGGCAGAGTCCCAGCTGAGTCCCAGACAGGACGAAATTCTGTTTGCCAGGCCATCTAGCCTCTGATTAGTAGGTCTATTTCATAAACACTTGTTAAAAACCTGTTAGAGGTTGATCACTCACTGAGGTCCAGGTGGACCACAGCAGCACACAAATATAATTAAGGCTTATCTGCATTCTTGGCCTATCCACATGCTGGACTCTATCACAGCAGTACCAGCACCCTGTCAACCTCCCCTTTTGCCCTGTCCCATCTCACCAAGCTTAAGAATCAATTATATCAGCTGATCAAGTTCAATGCCAATCATATTGAGGTGACAGCAAATGAGTTAGGAGTAGCATATTCAAACACAAAGCTAGTGTGAGCTAGTCCTATGCCTATTTGGGGATGTCAAGCAGAAGTACGGATCAAGGATCAGGGCTAGGACTGAATTCAAAAGCAAACAAAACAATTCTACCACACCAACTTTACTAAATGTATTAATTAGTATTAAATGTGCCAAAAAAAAAAGAAGAAGAACAAATTCCATCTATGGATTAAATATAGGCTATCAACCCTTATATTAATCAAGGAATTTAAAATTTTTATCAGGCATTCTGTTTATAAAGGAAATGTAAAAGAATACTACCTTCACAACAGTGAGTGTATCTGATGAAAATTTTAGATGCAAATAAAAGGTGTTTTTTGTGAAATAAAAAATTTTTGACAGGTTAAATGGTCTAGAAAGTTACTTAAGGAACTACAGCATGCTTGGTAATAGGTATAAGATAATTTTTTTTTAATTGCCAGATACCAAATCAGAGATGGCTTATAAACTTATAAACTCAACTGTAAATTTAAAACACACATAAAGGCTGAAGAAAAATAGTCATCAAAATGATAGTGCCTCAGGGAGGGAAAATCCCAAGAAGGTGATAAACATGATTAAAAAGTATGGAAGTGATCAAAGGCTTTAGTTTAGAAACCACAGTTGAGAAATTCATCTAAAACCTTATTTTAAAACTATTTAGTTAATTAAGTTTTAAAGATAGCATATAGCAAAACATAAATCAGGATCCCACAAAATCATAACCAATAGGGCAGTTCTATATTATCAGTGGAAAAGATTTTTGCTAGAAAAATCTAGAACATAAAAAGAAATACAGACATATTTCTCCACCTTTGGAAGGCTATTCCAATAGCATGCACTTTCATACAAAATTACAAATGATCTTTATTCATGAAAGTGGTTCTTAGGAAAACTGTTTTAGCCATTATAGTTTGTTACTGTCTATACATTTAAAATAAGACTATTTTCCTTAAAATATTCTATTATTTATATTTGTCTTTCGTGAAGTTTTACTCCAATTTAGTGAGGTTTTCCTATTACTTTTAAAAGCCTCGAAGTTAACAGACTCCAGTTTACAATCACCAACCTTCAACAACTGCAGACCAAAGTAGCCATGATGTGTTTTAATCACTACTACAGATCTTTCAAAGTATCCATTCCTGAAGAGGAAGTTATATTTTTAAAACCCTTGAAACAAATGTGTCCCTATCTTCAGTCTTAAATAAATTGAGGCACACATATAACTCAAAACTCTCCTTTTCCAAAGCATTATTCTGGGAATTAAAAGGCACTACCTACAGTGGCTTTTTCCTTGATAAATGTTTTTTAATTCATTTTGAAAAAAAGAGCAGTCATATTTCAATTGCACTGGAGCTTTTAAAACAAAATAACCAAAAGCTGAGGTGTACAAATTATTAACAAAGAAGCTCAAGACAGAGAAAGAAAAGGCTTTTCGCTAAAAAAAATTCACACCATTTCTGTTTTCAGGGCAAAACAAAACTAATTTTCACTTCCTTCTCGATTAACTACACTTTGAGAAACACTGAAACACTTTCAATATCAAAGGCTCCTTGGTAAATATGTCAAAACTATACAGTTGCATATTTTGCAACTGTGTAAAATTCAGCTTCCTATAATTTTCAAACCACAGCTTATGTCTAAACTTTAATCTCCACTGAAGTTTACTTACCATTGCCATGTTGGACAGTGATGGACTAAATGGTCTCCAGCTGCAACAAACTATTCAGAGTTTGAAGGAAAGATAAAAGAAAGAATAGGAAAGGGGAAAAAAGGTTGAATATCATTGGATATTGTGTGGCAAAATACCAATCTGATTATCCTTGGTAACCTTAGCAGTACATATAAATTTAAAATGCATTAAGACACTAGACCTGTTCTACCAGTCTTTAGACCTATCTCTGGTGATTATTAAATTTCAAATGCTTAAACATTGAAAAAGGTTTAATCTAAATTTGGAAGTGAAATAAAATATGTGAGTTTAAGATAACTATCACTGGATTATAAAATCACTATCTGTGAGAATCACAGTACATAGTAAATAAAGCTACAACTTAAAATGGTTATGAATGAATAACCACAAGAAGCAATGTGGTATAATGGATAGAGCTAGCCTTAGAATCAAAAAGATCTGCGTTCAAGCACAGTACCAACAGATTATTTTCTGGGTGACTACTGTCAACTTCTCAGTGCCTAATTTAGGGAATGCTAAGACTAGAAGTTATAAAAGAGTTGTCTATATGAATTAGCGAATGGTTTCCACATTGGGAGTTTCTTATATTGATGCAATCAAAAGTCCCCACATATAGAAATGTGAATTTATCTATTTTAAGACATAGCAAACAATACATTTATTGAAAGTTGAACATCAGAATTCACTTAATTCAACCTCCTTCAGAAATTTTTTCTATTTTTAATAGGCGTTCATCCAGCCTTTGTTTGGACACTTTTACTTTACATTCACTAAATCACAAACTTCCTAGACCTGAAAGAGCTTTTTCATTTATTCCACTGCTCCCAAGCAGGATCATCTTACCAATTATATGTATTCTAGTGTTTTATATTTGCTGTTAGCTAAAAATTCATTGAGAAAAACTATAGGGAAAATACTGAATAAAAACTGATACTATTTACACAAGAATTAAGTTTACATACATTGTGGTATGTTTTTCATTTCCAATATGCTCAATTTTAAGAGTATACTCCATTGTCTGAATGATGGACACATAAAGAAGAGATAAATGGAGTAATAAGGTTAATGACGTACTTTTGAAGTTTGAAGAACTTCTAGACATTCTATGAATCAGAATCCACCAACTACACAAACTGCATAATATGCAAAGGCAAACATGTATTTCTGAACCAAAATAGTGGAATTTTTTTAAGTGTCATATCTATTATTTTATTTTTCAGTCTGGTCAAGAGATGAGCTCACCTTAATGTAGAATAGAGAACATATTCTTCAGAACAGTCTGATATCCTGATAAATATATTTTGTAGTGAAAACTAACCTAAGCAAGGGACATGCACATTTTTCCAGCTACTACTGTTCCCCAATCATTTATTGCTAATGAGTATATTGCACTGAAAAAGATTCACGTCTTCCTTATGCTTTCAACACTGTATAAAAGAATTTGTTTTATGTCAAGAATGATAGATTCACTATGGATTAATATATTATCAAATACTTTGAGAATATTTTAAGAACATTTTAAGAAAAAGACAATAGAAAGATAATTTTATATTCTTAAACCTGGAAGAAATTCAGAGGTCATCTAGTCCAACACAATTCATTTACAGATAAAGAAACTGAGGCCCAAAAAAAAGAAGCAATCACTTAGCAAGTTGGCAGTAGAATTGAAACTAGAACCCAATTTGTCTTCTTAAAATGTTAATGGCAAAAGTGAGACACAAAATTCCAATAAGTATGTATGGCCAATATTACCCTAATCTTCCTTTCTGTAAGTGTCTCCTAACAACCTCTAAGGAAAGGTAATATCATAAAAAAAGAGCTGAGATTTATCAGATAAATAGGGTATCGATGCTCTCTGTCTTCCTTCCTACCATGATTTGCTTCATACCTTACAGACATTAAATTTCAGTTAACTGACTTAAATGCATCAATACTATTGCTAAAACACTAGCTTTTATTTAGTGATCTTTATGCAACATACTATCACTTCAAAGTACTCAATAAAATCAATGCCACTTTACCCAATGATAGATAATTCCTATTTAATTCTGTTTTATTTCAAAAAAATTTTTTGCTCAAAATATTTTTGTTATAGTTCTCTTATAAACATTAGGTCAAAGTATTTTTTTTTACTGACAGATAAGTAATGCATATTTTTAACCTCTCTCTCCTCTACCATTATACCTCCACAACATGCATTTAGATGGAAAGAGAGATATTTTAGCCAGAGAGATAAAACAGACAATTCCATCATAGCACAATACCGTTGTTCCAGCTTTCTTTCAACCATATTAGAGAGGAACAGGATAAGGAAGCATTTGCTCATAGCAGCATCCCCTTTGTAAGGTAGGAGGTTTCAGGGACTTTATTTCCAGTTCTAGGCCTAATCTCACTCCTATAATTGCACTCTCTTCATCCAAAAATTATTTAATCCTTGCATTGGTGCTACCAGTTACCTGGTAATGCCTTTTATAAAAGAGATAACTTTAGGAAACAAGCTTTTTATTAGGTGTTTCAGTGAATGGTACCAAGACCATGAGCTGAGCCCCTAATGTGAAACAGCTAGAAAGATAGTAGAAAGTTGGGCCTGAAATCTAGGATGTCTGGGCTCAATTCCCACCTGATATTTCATGACCATGGGCAAGTCACTTACTTTCTCTCAACCTCAGTTTCCTCAACTGGAAGATGGAGATCATATTGACACTACCTATCAGATAGAGCTCTTATGTGGAAAGTGGTTTATCAACTTTCAGGCACTATATAAATGTGAGCTATAATTCAAACTATTCAATAGCCACAGTCCATACCCTTAAGTACAACATTTTTATGATTGAGCAAACACCCATTCATAAATGACAGACCAGACAAAACTGTGAGGATTGGTTTAGCATAGTCCATCTGTGCTAAAATCATTTGTAGTGATAGGGGAAAAGGAGAGGGTAGTCAATAAAAGCAATCACATAACTGTACCATATTATTTTACCCTGTGAAACTTGTCTGGGAGACCACCCATATTAGAAAAACACCTGTCCATCAACTAGTGAATGGACAAACTGTGATAAATACACATAATGGACAATAACTATGCTATAGGAATATAGAACATGAGAAGAATTATATGAACTAATATAAAGGGAAGCAAGCACAACTAGAAAAATAATATACACAACACTTAGAACAACGTAAATAGAAAAAACTGAGGGGGAGGGGGAAGAGGGAACTGATCACCGATTAATTATAATGATTTCGTTTGGTATTTAAGAAAAAAATGACAAAATGCACCTCCCTCCTTCATAGAGGTGGAGGGTTATGGTGTGGAAGACCGCATATACTCTCACACTTGGTTAATGCATTGGCTTGTTTTGCTGAACTAACTTTTATTATGTACTCTTTCTTTGTTATAGGGGATAATTCTCTTGGTAGAGGAGGAGGAGAGAGGAGATATATACATATATATATATATATATATATGGAAATGAAGGTGATGTAAAAAAATATATATCAACAGAGTTTTGTTTTGTTTTTTAAAAGAAATGCATCTTCCCCAAACTCAATTTTTTTAGCATGGTAAAATCCATGGTAAAATCTTCAGAATAATAGTCCAAAAATCATGTCTAAAGTACACTTTTTTTATGTGTGTAAAAGTGAATTGTACTAAAACTAAAATTTTTGTTAGCTTTTCTTGAAGGTCAGTCAAGAAAATAAAAATATATCATTGTTCTCTTGGCATCTCACACTTACAACTCACCAGGATTGTGTTAAGGTACTACTCTTCTAGAAGAATCAATTCTCTTACCAAAGTCTGCCATGGTCATAAGATTATCCAACACAATTCATTCTAAAACGTGACAAACTAGTTTTTCCTTCAAAGTAATAAAGTTATACTGTCAATCAACTTGCTTACGACATTTTTTTCCCTCTTTTGGAGGGAAAGAACAATTGGGAGAAGCTTAAATAATAGAAGACCTCAATATCTGTACTAGTTCAAAGAATATTTTTTAAAAGGAACCAGATACAACTTTTTCAACTGTTCATAAAACCTGATATAGGTGGCATTGGTATCTAAAAGAATCAAAGAATAAAACTGATGTGCTCATAAAATTAAATCACATGCTTATGTAAATAGTAAATTTAGTTTGAAAATGAACTTGTTCCACCCCTCATTTGCTCCCTCAATAGACTAAAAGCTCCAAAGGAGTGGTATTTAGGTAAATGGGAGACCTACTAAAGTATATAGGGCATATGAACGCAGCTATATAACAGGCTGCCACCTCTGGCAATGGCTTTTATGACTTCTTGGTCTAATTTTTAGGTTCCTAAGCATTACAATGTCAGCTTAACCAGGATATATGCCTATAATAAGAAGCAAATAAAAGCAAACTATTTAGAATATAACAGAAACCCACTATTACACAGATTTTGGGAATGTATTGTAGGCGGATTCATATTCCTTACACTACAGCTTCATAATAAAAAAACTAATATAATATCATTATATAGTCTGTAACAGGTATATTACCTTCTATTCCCTTAGTCCATCATTAAAGGGGTTCCACTATTTGTTAACAGTGAATACTGAAAGGAAGGGTGCAACTATTCAGTATGATAAATAGAAATATTCAATTGAAACATTTAAGCAGTGCCTAACATTGTACCTTGCACACAGCAGAAGCTTTATACTTGATGAATTGAAAGAAACATTTTAGAAAAGCTTAAGAAAACACAAACATTATAGAACAGTCTCTAAAAAGGGGATGTGACAACACACTGCTTTGCACAGGTAAAGCTAAATCAAGCATCAGTGCCATCTAAATATGAAGAGAGCTTGGATGACCAGATTAGCTACATCATTTCTATTTCTATGAAGAGAGTAACTATGTAGAAAGTTGGTAAAGTAGAAAAGGAGGAAGAATTAACCCCTTCTTCAGGAAGTAGTTCTAAGCTGTACATTTTTGTAAAATCAGTAATCATGGAGGAAATGGATTAACTTTACTCCAAACAAGGTAAGTATTTAGAATATTTTTAACATGAGAAGGGAATACAACCATTAATTTAGTACAATTAGGAAAACGGATCTATGATCTTATCAATGCTGACAATCCCTCCAAGGGTACAGAATTGCAGAATTTATCGAACTATCAAAATCAGAGCTAAATACTACAAATCTTCCACAAACAGATCTAAAAGAAATTAAACTTACCTCTTCTGGGGTGATCACACCTGTTTCCTTAAATTTTGATTCCTGAAATGAACCAAAAAAAAAGGAGTTCACTTTGACAAAGCATAAAGCTAGAGCTGTTTATACGTAACAAGCCTTAAAAATGCACAAGCAAGTGAAATGGTATCAAAGACATTTAAAGGCACTACAAAGCTTATCTAATTTCTCCTCAATTAGATTCTGGAGAAATTTTAGAAATGAAATTTAGAAACTTCGAGCTATTTTCAACTTTCCTTGACAACCATCAAATTGCTGAGAAATAACTTTTCTGCTGATGTTGCAAAGACTACACTAGTTTACTATCACTTTACTATCAATTCTGTTTAGCCTAAATTAAAGGATTTTAATTTAGTATTAAAAGTCTCAGAAAATAATTCATTAAAAGTTTTACTTTCGGGGCAGCTAGGTGGCACAGTGGATAGAGCTCCAGCCTTGGAGTCAGGAGGACCTGAGTTCAAATTCAACCTCAGACACATAACACTTACTAGTTGTGTGACTGGGCAAGTCACTTAACCCCATCACCTAGCCAAAAAAAAAACAAAAACAAAAACAAAAAGTTTTACTTGAGTTTTCCAACTAAAGGAAGTTTTTTGCTTAATTTTTGAAATTTGTTATTCATTTGATTCAGAGTTGGAAGTTTAGAGTTCCCTGAAAAAAATTAGACCCAGAAAAGTTAAGTGACTTAGCCAAAGTTAGACAACTAGTTAATTATACAGAGTTGGACCCAAGAAGCCAAATAGATTTACCCTAATCTACTTGCTTTTCTAAATAACATGTTATTTAATATTTTAAAGATTCTTACTGTCAATTTTAAAAGTGAAGAATTTCTTCCTCCTCCCCCCCCAAAATATCCAAAGTTACTTTTTATTTGTGATTCTCAACTGATTTCTACAGATCTATGGTTTTTCACAGAAAAAAGTAGCCTCCTCTGTGTTTACTTCATTTCTAATAGTATACATCATTCATAACAGCAACTCCCAGTTGACTCAACTAAGTTTTCTCACGTTTCTTTACTCTCAAGGCAAAGGTTCCTTCTAAATGCTTGGTTCAACACATTTGTATTTTAAAAAGCTAAAATTATGTGCCAAAGCAGTATTTGCTTTTGACATTGACGCAAACTATTATTTCCATTTTTAGATAATTTAATGATTTACCAGAGGTCATACTGTATAGAAAATTCAAAGATGAGCAAAAATTTAAATTCTAAGTCCCTGACTAAAAAAAAAAAGTTTTAGGCAAATGAAGCACATCCTTGAAAGAAAATTGTAAATGAGTATAAAACTACAGTCCAACTTGCATTTTCTCTCCAAGCTGACCTAATCCCTGGATGCTCTGAGTTATTGCTATGGACTTAATATTGTTTCCAGCTTGCTAGGTATAGCTTTCTATTTATCTTAAATAAAAAAGGTCTTAGACATTTTCAAAGATGTTTAAATTCTCATTAAGAATCTTAACATATTTCTCAAAAATTAAGACTAAGGGGTAGTCAGATACTCCTAATGACCATAATTTGTTCTTTAGAAGGGATATACAAAAAGCCATTACACAATTCTAATGGCTTATGACATAAGTTACAAAAGCAGGAAGCAGCCTCACAATCTACAAATTTATTTTTTTAAAAAGTGTTAAGAAAATAGAACATTTTTATGATTACTACTATATGTATTGTAATGCAGCTGATATTTTTCATTAGAAAAGCTATCATCAATCTGCGGGCTAATTTTACATCTGCTCTTACTAAAGTCCATAAGATATCTGGTGCTAATTATATTAGCCAGCAATATCTAGGTGAGGAAAAAGAAAAAAAAAACTTAAGAGGAAGCAAATGGGTGTTCAGTTTGTTGCAACTTTAGTTAGTTTTATACTTCAGTCAGCACTTTAATAAAACAAATAGATGGTTTTTATAAAACTTTTAGAGAACAAAATGTTTGATATTTTAAGTCAACTTAGAGGCATGTTTCCCAAAACCCTGTATCCTGAACAACTCTGGTGGCTTAAAGTGAAATGGTAAAGGGATTATACTGAATAGAAAAGTTTTCCTCTCTATTCACTGGGGCTGTAAAGCAGAGGTGTCAAACTCCAGCAGCAAAACCCCCAAGTGCAGCCCCAACCAAATTAAAATGTCGTGCACTGAAAGTACTTATTGTACTTACAAAGTACGAACAACAATTTTTCAGTGAGTGGCAGCAGTGGCACAGTGGATAAAGAAAAGGGCCTCCCACAATACTAGCTGTATAAACCTGGGCGAGTCATTTATCTTCTCAATCCCCTTCCCTCCCTCCCTCTCCCTCTAATTCTCTAAAACTAAATTTCACAGCCTTATACCAATAAAAACAAAAGTCCAATAAAAATCTTTTCAGAATGAAAATCCAAAACTTCCTTGACCCCTTTTAATCCTAGGAGTAGTCCATACTCTTAGATACCACACCTACAATACTTGTGAGCTCAAACAATGTATTTCAAGTTGTCAAGAAACTTTATTCTGAACTATTCCAAATGTGATCGTTTTAAGCTCTAAGTTTCTGAGACAACAGCACTGCCATACATTACAGAATCTGTGTTTTAAAGCAGAGGTGTCAAACTGAGGCTGCAAAACTCCCAAGTGCTGCCAGAACCAGATTAAAATGTAACTGGAAAATGTTTAACAAAATTATATATCTATATCTATATATATCTGAAATACAACACAGAATGTTACTCTTGTGGTTTTCTAACTCAAATATGTGGCCAGCAGGGATCTATTTTCTATTTAGGTTTGACACCACTGCTGTAAGGACTTCAAAAGTTAGCTAGTTTCAAATGGTACCTAAGGAATCCCCTTCAGGTCTCTGACGTTTGACATTAATAGTCATGAAGACCTCCAGACAGATACTTTCCAAGGCACGCCATTCATCACTTTCTGATAGAACTAGTTTTCTGGAAGTTTTTCCTTACAGGATACCAAAATCTGCCCCTCTGCAACCCTCACCCAATTTGCTCCTTACTGAGGACGTCTGAGGACCACGTAATCCCATTATATGCTCAAGCACTAAAGTAAGTACTGGAACAAGGAACATATAGAGGCCAAAAAAACCTAAAAACGATAGTTTGAACAGCAACGAAAGAAAGGGAGAGTGGAAGGAGAGAGGGGAGGCTAACAGCAACAGCAGTTCCTAAAAGGCCATCCTTTTAAGGGAGGGTCGCCCAGGTAGCAGGACCACAGCAGACGAGTTTTCCCTATCCCTGAATTCCCGGTGTGGACAGTCCTCAGCAGCTGACAATCAGCCCTGCCCGAGCAGGGACTCGGTGGCATCCAAGCAGGTCCCGAGCATCAGCTCAAGGGTCGCACACCGACTAGTGCCGTCTCTGCCAAGTGCCCCACGGGGACAGCGAGTCAGTGCGTCCCCATCCCCCATCTCCCATCCCCCGGGCAAGGGGCAGGGACGGCGGGGCAGGAGTCCGGGTTAGCCTCCCTCGGAGCCGGGGCCGAGGCCGGTTACCTTAAGCACGGGGGTCAGGTACTCGGCCACTTCCAGCGCCTTCCCTTTCACCGTGTTAATCACGTTCTGCATCCCGGGGCCGGGGCCGACGGCGCGGAGTGCGGGCCGCGCACTGGGCTCCGGGAGCTTGGGGCGGGAGGAGGGGGAGGGGGCGGGGGATGGGACCGGAACCGGAGCGGACTGGGATGTCCTGCTCCCCGCAGCCGCCTCACACCCCGCAAGCGGCCCCCGCGGGGGATGGGCAGCCGGCTCCCGGCACGAGAGCTCGCTACCTCAGACCGCGCCGACAGCCAGGAGTTAAGCCAGGGGAAAGTTGGGGGAAGAGGAGCGAGCGAGCGCGGCGGCGCACCCCTCCCTCCAGCGCGCGCCTTCTCCTTCCTGCCTCGCACGGGTTCGCACCCCTTCCTTCCTTCCCTCTCTCGCCGTAGCTTAGAACCTCACAGCCATCGGAGGGCTCACATGACCCCGGACTCCTCCTGCACGTGATGCGCGGAGAGAAGGGGCGGAGCCACATGGCCCTCCCTCAGCTCTCTCTCCTCCCATTTCACAAACACCACCCCCCCCTTAGTTAATGCGCCTGCGCAGGGGGTCCCCTTAGCGGCTCATTTCCTGACTGGTATGTTCAGGTACCAATTCTTCTGGCAGTTCAAGAAGCTGAGCCTTAGGGAACAGAAACGATCTTATCGGTCCGTTTCTTCCCCTTTCATCCTCCCCCCCTCACCACTCCCTTCTCCTTCCTCGACAGTTCTCAGAATCTACGGCTGCTACATCTGCCCGTCACTGCCCAGCCTGGCGTGTACCGCCAGCCTAGGATGCGCTTCCTCCTACGCAGGTGTACCCAGCACCAGGGATAGGTAACAGCTCCCCGCGCATTGAAAGCAGCGCATGCGTAGGCAGAGAGGAGCCCACTGAAGGAAGAAAAACTATGAGCCCACTGCGCATGTGTAAGAAGAGGTTTGTTGGGTGTTTTTTTTTTCTCTCGTTTCGTGGTGGAGGCGAAAGGGGGGGGCCCTGGGCATCCTTGTCACGTGATGCTGGGCGGAGCTTGCTGGTGCCTGGAGTGCGCTTGCACGTTTGGGAGCTGTCATTTCGGGCTGATGGAAGAGCGGGGTGACCTCGCGTGGGGCAGCTCTCGGGAAATGCCGGTTTAGGTGGGGCGCCCAGGACCCCCACTTTCTCTGGTGGTTGTGAGGAGGTTCCCACAGCCAAAGTGGTTCAGGTTTAAAGGCCCAGGAGTCACCTCAGGCCCTTCTGCCTCCATCTGGAGCTGAACCCACTCTGGACTTTGGGCTCTCTAAGAAGAAAAACTTTTTACTTTTTTTCTTGGGTTTTTTTTTTAAGAGAGAATTTCCTTTTAATCACGAAGTCCTTTTTTTCCTCTCCCTCCCCTTCATTTTGGCCTCTGTCTGAGGTATTTCTCAGACCCTTTTGTGGGGGCTACAGTCACAACACATCATTGTTTACAGTAAGAATGCGAATCTTGTGTTTCCCTCCCCTCTCTACCCGGGGTTTCTGTCTCTTCAAACATGTTATACCATCCTAGGAGATATTTTGAAAAATCAAAGTGCCCTTGTTTTTGTCTGAGGGGAGAGATGGAGAGAAGGAAGGGAAGACAAATCCAGACAAACTTAGGGGTTTCTGCTCCTTAGGTGGGGGTTCTCTTTGATGGCAGGGAGCTAAATTCATTTCCTTTCTTGATGCCATTCTTAAAATTCATGTGGGGGAACTCAAGTGCTATCAGAATACTTTTTCTGCTAAGGCTACCCTTTTAAAGGAGGGTCACCCAGATGGCAGGACTGAAGCCTTGAAGTTATTCTTTCACCAAAAGGCCTGTTGTGATATCATCAACTCCTACCTCCTTGACCATAGTAGGTGCTTTATAAATGTTTGAATGAGATTGTGAATGAAATAAATCCGTTTTAAAGCCTCTTGGGTTCTTGGAGGTTATACTGACACCTATCCTGTACAGCACCGATGCCCAAACTTTAACTTGCACTAATATCAGTAAAAAAGTTTTTTAAGCAAGCATGTCCAGTATGCATATACTTCTTTATAAATTATATACACCCACAATTTTGTATGTCATAAAACTTAAAAGAAAAAATATTTCATCCTAGAGTCAATAGAGAGTCACTGGAACTTATTGAGTAGGGGAGTGGCATGATCAGCTGAGTACTAGGAAACTCATTTTGTCAGGTGCTAGCACATAGAAGGTGCTTAATAAAGCAATTTTTATGCACTTGATAAAAAAAATTTAGGCACTTGATAAAGCATCATTAGAAACATTGATTGGGAATGGATTCGAGAGAGGGGAGAGATGAGTCTGGGAGACCATTTAGGAGGTTATAGAATGGTCCAAGTGGGAAATGAGGCCCTGACCTAATCGGGTGGCTGTTTGAGTAGAAAGAAGGGGACAGATGAGGTAGATGTGGAAGAAGAAACAATACTTGACAATTGATTATTTGGGGTGAGATTCTGTTGAAACCTATTCATATCTGTTCATACTGTGCATTTATTCATCCAGAATAAAAAGAGGGGAGGTCTTTTTGCAGAGCTCAAATGCAGAGCCAGCTCTTGGAGAGGTGTCTATCACAGTCATGGGGTGAGTGAGGTAAGGTAGTGAATATGTGGGAGTAGGGAGGAGGCTGAGTTTTCAAATGGTACCTGCTATACAATTGGCCAGAAGGACTGAGGCCCAGCTCAGAATGGGGGAGGTGATTTAGTGAGGAAATGTTGGGGAATGAGGGTAGGTGTGGTAGTACTGGAGAGATAAACCTCGTGATCAGGACACTACACCTTTCTTCTCAGTGGACACCAGCTCCTACTTTGGGCTCAACTGCTATAAAGAGCCAGGTCTATCTTGACTTAATTAATGCAGTATGCCACAAATTACATCAGCTGTTGGATGACTACAATGTAGTATTTGACTTGGAGTCTGAGGACCTGGATTAAAATTCTGAATCTGCCACATTTTAACCCACCTTCTCCCCTGAGCTTCAGTTTTCTCATCTGTAAAATTATGGAGTTGGACTAAATTACCTTCAGAGTTATTTTAGCTCTAATTTCTGTTCCTATGACCTGGGGCAAGCATATCATCTGGGTATTATCTGGGTAAGACTATTGTATGGGGGTAGGAGGGGAAGTTGGAGAGAAGGCATTAGGAACTCTGTTACAGTACATCATCGGAGGTAATACTATCAATGAAATGACAAATCCTTTAAATATTGACTAATTTGGTTATTATAATCTTTGCTCCATTGACGTTTTTAGTATTACAAGGGTTAGGCCTGAGGGACTCAGACTTCAGTGATATATTTTTTACATGTTTCCTATGGCTTTGGAATTTATAAGCAATGTTTTCTGTAAGGCCTAGAAAATAAATAAAACAAATTGTCTCCACAACATAGAAACTACTATTTCTGTTAAAGAACAGAGAATAAAAGACAAGAAGAGATTACATTAATCATTGAAATTGATTAATGTATTTCATTCAACAAGCAGGTTCATCTTTAATTTTTAACTAGAAGTAGGAAGTAAAATTCACAGATAAAAAATAAAGCTAGATTTTTGGAAGTATAGCACTTTGTTCAGAATTCCCAAGGATTAATAATGTGCTTATAAAGGAAACTGAGTTAAATCATAAATTATTTTATTATTAAAAATTTAAATCAGGTATTTAATGAGTATAAACAGATATAATTGTCCACAAAAATGTAACAATTTCTGAGCTATATCCTATATTAACAAAAGGTTTTCTTAAATAATAAATGGAATAATAAAAGTTCGTCAGTAGTCCTCAGTCTCTCTGGGACAGTCAGCTCAGCGATTCTCTCAAGAGCTAAAGCAGCTTGTTATATAGTGAATATTGCTTAACTTTTTCAGCAGCATCGTTATGAATATTAGCAATTGAATAAGTTCTGTAGAAGTAGTTGAAGTTGCACATGTAGGTGCTCTGCTTGTAATTGAATGTTCACACTGGCCTATACCTTCTCCTTCAAGAAACAAAACTGAAAGCATCTTACTTGGTTATGAAAACAGGAGAGTAAACCCACGTGAGAGATAAACCAACTAGCAAATTACAGATAGGAGTGGTACTGATAATGCAAAAACATAAAAGCCTAAACAAATTTTCAGGCTCTCTTGGCTTCAGTAATAGAATTTGCTTTAGGACACTGCAAAAATTTAAGAAGGGCAAACTATAGAAAAATCCTCCCTATATTCAATATTATTGAGGTCCTTATTATAATACTATGATAAGTTTTTGGTTCCATAGCTGGAATATAATATAAATATGATATAATGGAAAGAGTGCTAGAGAGAGTCAGGAAATCTGGATTCTAGTCCTTGCTTTGCCACTAATCAGCTGTATGACTTTGGATAAATTCTTTACCTTTTTAGTCTTCGATAAATGTTGGTTTAGCCCTAACAGTTTTGTTATAAGAAATGCACACTAGTTATTAAAAATTTCATTGATCTACCAGGTATAGGCAGCTGTCCCCACATTTTCCTTCTTCTTAAGGATATCCTGAACAGCATACTCTCCACAATTATCAGTGGTGAGTAACTCTCTAGAGGGTATAATTTGGGGTTGAGGTGATAATATCAGTCAGTTTATTAACCACACCAAGAAGGTGCCAGGCCCTGTAGGGATACAAAGATAAAAATGAAACAGTGGCTGCCCTCAGAGAACTTACATTCTGTCAGGGTAGAAAACATAGAATATACATATACATATATATGTATATAAAATAAGTACAAAATTATTTTTCAGGGGGAGGACATCAGCAACTGAGGAGATCTGGAAAGGCCTCATGTAGAAGGGGCACCTGAACTGAGTTTTGAAGGAAACAAAGAATTTTAAGGGGCATATAAATGAGGAGGAGTATAGAGTACATTAGGCCATTTGAGCCTTATAACAAGCCTGTGGTAGGTCCTCAGGTATAATGACCTGAGAAACAAAAATGTTGAGAGACTTGCCCATAGTCACTTTTCTTTTTTCATTCTCAATCAGTGATCTTGTCATCTCCATGAGATCAATTACCATTTCTGCATATGATTCCCTATTTATCCAGCCCTACTCTCTCTCCTCAGCACCAGCCTAGCATCACCAACTGTCTGTTGGATATTCCAGACTTGATGACCCATAGGGATCTCAAACTCAACATATCCAAAACAGAATTCATTACCTTTACTCTCAAATTCTCTGTTTTTCAAAACTTTCCTATTATTGCCTAGAGGATGACCATCCTCCCAGACATTCAGATTTGCAGCCTCAACTCTTCTTTCAGTTATTCCACATATCTAATCAGTTGCCAAATCTCGTAATTTTTTCCTCCATAACTTTTTAAAAAGACATTCCCCTTGCATAGCCACTGTCCTGTTTCAGGCCTTTATCACTTCAGGTATAGATCACTGCAGAGCTTTATAATTGCTCTCCATGCCTCAAATCTTTCTTAACTCAAAATCATCCCCACATAACTGCCAAAGTGATTTTCTTAAAGCATAGCATCTTCCTACTCAATAAACTCCATTGACTTCCCATTACTTACAGGGCATAGAGATCTTTGTTTGACATTTAAAACTCTTCACAACTTGTCCTTTTCCTACTTTTCCAACCTTCTTGCATTTTACTACTTGCTATGAATAATACAGTGCAGCCATGATAACCCACTTATTGTCCCTTGTCCATGACACTCCATCTTCTATTCCTTGCCTTTGCCCTTGCTATTCAGTGCTTTGAATGTTCTCCCTCCCATTGTTTGATTCTTGGATTCCTTGACTTCCGTTAAGATTCAGCTCAAATGTGGTCTTCTCCAGGAGGCCTTTCCTAGTCCTCCCAGCTACTAGTGCCATGCCCTGTATATTAACTTCCATTTACTTCTTATTTATCTTGCATATTCTAATTTATAGACATTGTTTAAACTATTAGAATATAAATTCCTTAAAGGCCAGAATTGTGTTTGGTTTTGCTTTCTCTTTGTATCCTTAGGTCCTGGTACAGTTCATGGAAGGTGATAAATGCTAATTGATTCCAGGTATGGAACTGGATATTAAAAACATACAAGTGGGAGATGGAACATTGTATTTGAAGAACAAGAAGGCCAGTGTGGTCACACCATAGAGTATAATAAAGCCAAAGAGACAGGTGAGGTCCAGGTTATGAAGGGCTTTGAATGCCAAACAAAAAATTGTGTTTGATTTTAAATGCAGCAAGAAGCCATTGGAGTTTATTTTTTAATAGTGTTATTTTATTTTTCCCCAGTTACATGTCAAGAAAATTTTTAGCATTGATTTTTACTAAGTTTTGAGTTCCAAAATTTTCTTCCTCCCTTCCTTCTTCTGAAAATGGTAGACAGTTTGATATAGTTTATACATGTGCTATCATGTAAAAATATTTCCATATTATTCACAGTTGTGAAAAAAGAAATAGGTCAAAAGGAAAAAAAAACACAATAGAGACTAAAGTAAAAGAAATATGTTTCAATCTGCATTCAGAGTCTGTTAGTTCTTTATCTGGATATTTTCCTTTGTGAGTTCTTTCTACTTGTCTTGGATCATTGAGTTTCTGAAAAGAGCTGAGTCATTCATAGGTGATCATCATACAATGTTGCTGATACTGTGTGTAATATTTTCCTGGTTCTGCTCATTTCACTGTGCATCAGTTCATACAAGTCTTTCCAGGTTTTTCTGAAATCTGCCTGCTCATCATTTCTTATTGTACAATAGTATTCCATTACATTTATATACCATACCTTGTTCAGCCATTCCCCAATTGATGGACGTCCCCTCAATTTCCAATATTTCTCCACCACAAAAGGGACTGCTATAAATATTTTTGCATATGTAGGTCTTTTCCCTGTTTTTATGATCTCTTTGGGATACAGGCCTAGTAGTGGTATTGCTGAATCAAAGGGTATGCAAAGTTTGGTTGTCCTTTGGGCATAGTTCCAAATTGCTCTCTAGAATGGTTGGATCAGTTCACAAGTCCGCCAACAGTGCATTAGTGTCCCAATTTTCCCACATCTTCTCTCTAGCATTTTTCATTTTCCTTTTCTGTCATATTAGCCAATCTGATAGGTGTGAAGTGGTACCTCAGAGTTGTTTTAATTTGCATTTCTCTAATCAAAAATTATTTAGAACACTTCTTCATATGCCTATAGATAGCTTTAATTTCTTCATCTGAAAACTGCCTGTTTGTATCCTTTCACCATTTATCAATTGGGGAATGGCTTGTATTCTTGTAAATTTAACTCAGTTCTCTATATATTTGAGAAATGAGGGCTTTGTCAGAGACACTTGCTGTAAAGATTGTTTCCTATCTTTCTGTTTTCCTTCTAATCTTGGTTGCATTGGTTTTGTTTGTGCAAAAGCTTTTTCATTTAATATAATCAAAATTATCTACTTTACATTTTGTAATGCTCTCTGTCTTTGGTTTGGTCATGAATTCTTCCCCTCCCCATAGATGTGACAGGTAAACTATTCCTTGCTCTTCTAATTTGCTTGTGGTGTCACCTTTTATGTTTAAATCATGCCAGTGGTCTGTCATATCTAACTTTTCTAATCTTCTATTTACCTCCATAGTTTCTACTTCATTTTTTTTTGTTGTTGTTGTTGGATTTATCAAGTTCTGAGAGAAGACAGTTTAGGTCTCCCACTAGTATAGTTTTGCTATCTATTTCTTCCTGTAACTCACTTAACTTCTCCCTTAAGAATTGGGATGCTATACCACTTAATGCATATATGTTTAGTATTGATATTGCTTCATTGTCTATGGTGCCTTTTTAGCATGATATAGTTTCCTTATACTCTTGTGCTATAAGAAATGATAAGAAAGTGAACTTCAGAAAAACCTAGAAAGACTTGTATGGACTGATGCTAAGTGAAGTGAGCAGAACCAGGAGAACAGTGTACACAGTAACAGCCACATTGTGTGATGACTCACTTTGATAGATATGGCTCTTCTCAGCAATGCAAGATCTAAGACATCTTCAAAAGTTTAATGATGGAAAATGATATCCACATCCAGAGAAAAAACTATGGAGTTGGAATGCATATTTGCTCTTTTTTTTTCTCTTCTGTTTTGTTTTGGTTTTTTCTTTCTTGTGGTTCCTCCTATTGGAGGAACCTTCTTTACAATATGACTAATGTGAAAATACGTTTAATAGGAATGTATATGTAGAGCCTATATCAGATTGCACACCATCTTGGGGAGGGAGATGAGGAGAGAAGGGGAGAAAATTTAAAACTCAAAAGCTTATGGAGTGAATGTTGAAAACTAAAAATAAATTAATTTTAAAAAAGAAATCTAAAAAAATATAGTTTCCTTACTTATCTCTTTTAATTAGGTTTATTTTTACTTTTACTGTGTCTGAGTTTAGGATTACTACCTCTGCTTTTTTTACTTTAGCTGAAGCATAATAGATTTTGCTCCAGCCCCTTACCTTTACTCTGTGTGTGTCTCTTTGCTTCAAGTATGTTTCTTGTAGACAACATGTTGTAGGATTCTGGTTTTTGATCCACTCTGCTATCTTCTTCTGTTTTATGGGAGAGTTCATCCCATTCACATTACAGTTATGATTGCTACCTGTGTATTTTTCTCCATCCTATTCTTCCTCTTGTTTGTCCTGTCTCTCCTTTCACCCTTTCCCTCCTCACTAGTGTTTTGCCTCTGTCTTCCACTTCCCCTGATCTGCCCTCCCTTCTATCAGTCCCCACCCCTTCCCTTTACTTGATCTCCTCCCCTCCTACTTCCCTGTTAGGTAAGATAGATTTCTATATTCAACTAAATGTGTATATGACTCCCTCTTTGAGCCAATACTGATGAGAGTAAGGTTCAAGCAATGCTCATCTCCCATCCTCCCATCCTCCCCTGCACTGTAATATGTCTTTCACACCTCTTCATGTGAAATAATTTACCCCATTCTATCTCTCCCTTCCTTCTTCACCCATTGTACTCCTCTTTCTCATTCCTTAATTTTATGTTGTTTCCTCAAATTCACCTTATGTACCCTCTATGTATATTCCTTCTAGCTATACAATTTTTAAGAATTACAAGTATCATTTTCCCATGTAGGGATGTAAATAGTTCAGCTCTATTGAATCCCTTATGTTTTCTTTTCCTTTTTTACCTGTTTATGCTTCTCTTGGGTCTTAATATTAGAGGTCAAATTTTTGATTTAGTTCTGGTGTTCTCCTTATGAAGGCTTGAAATCCTTCTATTTTGTTGAATGACCATTTTTCCCACTTGGTGTATTATGCTTAATTTTGCCTGGTAAGTAATTCTTGGTTGTAGCTCCTTTGCCTTCTAGAACATCATGTTCCATGACCTCCGATCCTTTAATGTTGCAGCTGCCAAGTCCTGTGTACTCCTGATTGTGACTCCACAATATTTGAATTATTTCTTTCTGGGTACTTGTAGTATTTTTTCCTTGACCTGGTAGTTCTGACATTTAGCTATAGTGTTCCTTGGAGTTTTTATTTTGGGATCTCTTTCCTGTGGTGATTGGTGGATTCTTTCCATGCCTATTTTGCCCTCTGGTTCCAGGACATCAGGGCAGTTTTCTGTGATAATTTCTTGAAAGATGCTATCCAGGTCCTCCTTTTGATTGTGGATTTCAGGTAGTCCAGTGATTCTGGACTACCATTTTACATTTTCTTTCATTTTTTCATTCTTTTGAATTTGTTTGATTGATTCTTGATGTCTCATACAGTAATTAGCTTTCATTTCCTCAATTTCTAACTTTTAACGTGTTTTCTTCAATTAGCTTTTGTACTTTCTTTTCCATTTGGCTAATTGTACTCTTTCAGAGCTGTTTTCTTCAATGGATTTTTGTATCTCCTTTTCCATTTGACCAATTCTACTTTTAAAGCAGTTTTCCAAGCTGTTAATTCATTTTTCATAATTCTCTTACATCACTCTCATTTCTTTTCCCATTTTTTTCTACTTCTCTTATATGATTTTTAAGCTCCTTTGTGAGCTCTTCCATGAGTTCTTTCTGGGCTCGAGGCTACTTCCCATTTTTCTTTGGGGTTTTGCCCATAGGTGTTTTGACATTGTTGACCTCTTCTGAGTTTGTGTCTTGGTCTTCCCCGTCATCATAATAACTTTCTTTGGTCAGATTCTTTTTTTTTTTCCGCTAAATTTTTTTTGTCCTTTTTCCATTCTTTTAAATTTGAGCTCTGCCCCTGGAGTGGAAGGGGCACTGTCTCAGACTTCTTATGCCAGTGGCTGTAGGCCCTGGCTGTTTACCTGGTGTTGTGCTTATGTTGCCCTGAGGCCAGAGGCACCCTCGAATCTGGTACTGTGCTGAGGGGGTGAGGTGGGAGGGGTAGCTGGTGCTGGTGGAGGCTATAAGGGTCTGGCAGCTTACCTGGCCCTGAGCTGGGATCCTAATGGTGGTGTCTGGCATGTGCTGAGGCCCAGTGGAGTGTTTTTGCATTTCCCTGGAGCTACAGTGAAGTATGTGAAGGTCTGGCCTACTTTCTTGTCATGCTGGAGGATGCCTGTTTGCCTGGGGCTGTGCTAAAGCATGTGGTGGTTTTTAGATCTGGAGTCTGCTGGTTCCCCTGGCTATGCTAAGGCACATGGGGGGTCCTGATGTTGGCGTTTGCCTGCTCCACCACAGTGGGGCTCAGGATCTCCCACTGGTTTGCTGAGGTGAAGCTTGCTGCTGGTTTACTGGGAAGCTTCCTATCCTGGAATGTGTTCCCCTTTTTACCCCAGTGAGACAGACCTTTCTTGTTGATCTTCCAAGTTTCTTGGGCTAAAAATTTGTTTTACCCTGTCTTTTTGCTGGTTCTGTTATTCCAGGATTTGTTTTGGGGCACTATTTTATGGTTATTTGGAGGTGATTATGGGAGAGTTACAGTGATTTACTGCTTACTCCGCCATCTTGGCTCCCAGAGTCATTGGAGTTTATTGAGCAGGTAAGTGATATAGTCAGACTTGAGCTTTAGGGAAATTGCTCTGGCAGCTCTGTGGAGAGTGGGTTGATGATGCAGAAGACCAATTAGTAAGCTACTGCCATAACCTAACAAGGCCTGGTATAATGTCAGGTGGAGCCTGAGCTATTAAGTCCAAGGAGTTACTATTTGAGTAATAGGAGCAAAGCCTGCTGCCTTTTGTTCATGTTTTGAGAAGCTCTACTGATATGAAAATTATAAGAACTCATACTTGGTCTCCTTGGCTTCAAAATTCCCCAGTGGTTGTGATAATGGTTTTTCTTCTATTGGTATGTCAGTCTAGGTGGAAGCCTAAGTGGCCTTCAACTCCTATCATTCAACAAATATAGGAAAACAAAAGTAGAAGATATAGGTCATGTAAAATGGCATATCCTGAGAGGACTGATGGTTAGACTTTCCACTAACAAAATTCCACAGACAGGGTGGTCTGATTATCCTGATATAGGAGGCATAGAACTGAAGATGTTCTTCCAGGGTTCATTTTTTGTACTCTACTTGCCCACTGGAAAAAAAAGCAACATGTCATGTAAAGGTGAATCTTTATTTGGGAGATAATGAATAATGGTCCTGAGGTCCTGAAATGTAAGATAAACAGGGAACCTTGACTAGAGGTGATATGTGAGAGAAAAATCATGGAGTTGGAAAATTCAGGAATGTTCTTGAATTGAAGCAAACACCCTCAAAGCTGATGGGAGGTATTAAACTGGCTAGGAAATGATATAACTTGTCCAGGGTACCTAAAACTACTTACCACAGAGACAAGTCCACAATAGAATCAAGCATCATCATCACCTAGATATAGAGGGGATTTGGTGGGAGTTGCCACAGACCTCTTTGTCCTTTGTCCTTAACTTAACATAGTCTACTATGGTGTTCCTTCAGAATTTAAGAAGGCTTCTGACATTCCTCTTAAAGACAATATTTCTAACTAGGGCATTCTCTGGCTTCAACAGGAGTTAGTGGCCATAGTAGACTATGTTAAGTTAAGGACAAAGAGGCCTGTAATGTAAGGTTTTACTTTGAAATGCCTAAGTCACCCATAGAAAAATACACAGAGCTCTTCATTTGCTCATAAAAATCCTTGGCCTTTTCAGTTTTCAATTGAGCTGAGATAGAAGTGCCCTTGGGACTCTTAACTACCGTACACTTTGTTATCTAAATCATAAAACAAAGTCTTCTGTCCTCCTAGGCCTTGTTGACTTCTTGTGCATTCTACTGTATGTGTTGAGAACTCTATTCTGTTGTGTACTAACTCTATTCTATTGTGAACTATACTACAGTGAATACCACCAGATTGTTCAGCTACACTATCTGTCATCCCCTGAACTTTAATTACAAAATTTTTTACCTGGTGCAAAGAATGAGGGATGAATTACAAAAGACAATCTGACTTCATATGGAGGTGCTCTGAGAAAGAGGAAAGTCTATCCTTTCATCTCAGGTGATTGGGGAAGAAGGTGGGCTTGGGAGAGAAATAAGAGGAGCCCCATGGCTTCAATGGTATCCTGAAGGTGTTGGAGTGAGCTGGTGAAGAACTGAAAAGCACTGAGACAGTGATCACCACAAGGAAGAAGTATCCTATGCCTTCCCACAACTTCTATAACTGTAAAGCCCCATTTACTCAACATTAGTTATAGCTTTAGGAAAACCCTAACTGTGATGCTACTACCTGCCCTCAAAGTACTCACTTAATTTAGAAATACTGTCTCAATTGAGCTTATTGCTGAACATAATACAGTAATGTAATATACCATTAAATGCATATAATGCACTTTATAATACACTTAATATTTATTGAATTGTTTGCTTTATGAGACCATGGCAATAAATTAGGACTTAGATTATCCTTTCCCTAAATACCTGCACAGAATGCTTAACTATATTGGTTTACTTTCAGCATAGTGATGTCTTGTATATTGAAAGATATTGGGCTGCACATGGTGGTGTTGCAGTTGGGAGGGGGGGTCAGAGTCAGAGAGACTCTGCCCACCCAGGGACGCCCAAAACTGTTGCAGTTTCATGATGTATTGTGGCAGAACCGTCTCAAAGAATCAGAGTCAGACCACCTCTAATCCAAGTATAGGCATTTATTGAGATTGATGTCTCTCATGAGGCAGGCTAAGTTCCAAGAGGAACCAGCAACTTTAGTGAAAGCAAGACAGATTTTTATAGGGTAAAGATGCAATTACATAACAGAAATTGTGAATATTAAAAAGATGGGAGGGGTTCATTAAGGGATTAGGTAATAAGGGAGGGGTCCCAGCCTCAATGGAACTGCGCACACGATTACCCACAATGTGTACAGAAAAACCCATTTGGGGGGGTATGTATGTATAATAAGCCTCTCTATGTCATAGGTTCACCTAAAGGACAGCTTTTGCTATTACTGTGCAGGTGCCTACTTAGGGAAAGTCCCTTCTGTTGTTCTGGAGTCCACATCCTGCTTGGGCATCCTGGTGGTGCTGCTTTCTGATTAGCTGAGTATTGTGGTCCTATCTGCGACTGGATGGATGTGGTTGTGGTTGAGTGCATGGACACACCTGCTGTTTCTGTGGGAAATATGAGGGGGTAGTGACTATCTAGAGGCAGTGGCTGGGATCCCATCACATGGACATGCCTGCTGTTTCTGTGAGAAACACGAGTTCATGGACACACATGCCTGTTGTTCTAATGAGCAGTGAGGCAGATATGAAGAAGTTAGGATACTGAGTCTGGGGTAGGCGGGGGGGGAAGTGGGGTTTGCAGTAGCTCGGTAGGAGCAGTGGGCCTGCTCTTCAGTGGGAAAGGAAGTTAGAATATTGGGGCTAGGGACAGTTTTATTAGGATTATATCAGTATCACTTATTCAAATAATTTAAAATGGAAATACTATTGCAGATGAACTTACTCTGGTAGTTTTGATAATTTAGGAAGTTTCCATTTTATTTCAGTTCAAGAAGCACTTATTATATTCCAAGCACTGTACTAGGTACTGGGAATACAAAAGCAAAAATAATGAAAGAATCTTGCTGTGCACAGACAAATAATAAGTGAGGGAATCAGGAAAGACTATAGAGGGGTGGTACTTGAGGTAAGTTTGAAGGAAACCAAGGGCTCCAGGAGTAGAGATGAAGAGGGAGAGCATTCCAGGCATGGGACAGCCTGTGCAAAGGACCAGAAGTGGGAGATGGCATGTCATATACAGGCAACTTCAAATTGAGGGTATCAGGGGAAGCAACGTGTAATAAGCCTAAGAAAAGTGCCATCAGTTATGCCAAATTACTTGCTTGCCCATTTTCTAACACTGAATTTTTGCTTATGAAGGTTTTGCTTTGTTAAAGGCTGCAAAGAACCAGACAGTTCAGACATTGGAATGGAAGGCAAGTGCTGCAGTCAGCCTGGACCACGCATTACATCAGTGGCTTCCACAAGTCTTCTAGGGGCGATGTTTGTGACTTTAAGTTCAAGTCGTATTCTGTTGATGAAATTCTCAGCCAATGAAGGTATGTTAATATCCATCCACACTGTAATTCTAAAACCTATATTCTGTTCCTAGTGCTGCCCATGACTCAATTTCAGTATGAATCATATCTTTAGAGATATGTCTTTAGTTTATTTATGAGAAACATAAGACTAAAATTATTCCCTGTAAAGTGAAATTGTTGACTATGGGCAATGAGGTAGATTTATATTAAAAAAAATTTTTGGCCTTATTAAGCAATATGTTTTATTCTGTTGTAGGGTCTCTAGTTGATTGGGTTAATAGTCTAATAGGAGACAATAACCAATTTGTGTGGTCCATGTTGCTAACATCTGAATTTTTAAAAATTACTCTGAATTTTAACATCAAAAAAATTTTTTTTGTAACACAACATAACATAAAAAGAGGATTCTTTATGAAACCATGAATCTCCATTTCGCAGAGATATTACTTGCCTTTTTAAAAAAAAGTATATAATCCACCTTTTTTTCAAAATTGTTCTATTTGTTCTTCTTTCTAAACTACATTTTGTTTCCTTCTTTGCATTTAAAAAAAGGTTACAGTGCTTCTTGCGGTGGGAGTGGGGTGGGAATCACTATTGCTGATCCTCCTTCCTCCAATACCCTCCTAATTAAAAACTGAAAGAAAGAAAGGGGGAAATAGCCTTGTAACAAAGCATAGTTAAGCAAAACAATTACGCAAAGTGACACTGTCCAAAAATGTAAATGTCTTTCAGCACTCTGTTCCCATGACCTCTCTGTCAGGAGGTGAGTAGCATGCCTCATCATAGATTTTAGGGAGACATGATTGGCTACGGAATTGATCAGAGAACTTGGATCTTTCAAAGTTGTTTTTCTTTACAACATTGCTGTCTTTGTATAAATTGTTCTCCTGGTTCTACTCTCTTCATTCTGTATCAGTTCATACTACCCAGGAATCTTTAAAATTATCTCTTTTTATTTCTTACAACATTCTATTCTATTATATTCATATACCAAAATTTGTTCAGCCATTCTCCCTGTCATAGAGCCATCCTGAGCAGAAGTCTATTTTTTTCAATCATAAGCTCCTCATTGCCCTACCAGATAAGCTAGAGACTATTTCATAATAGGCTCTGTCTCTCTCTGCACTTAGTATTTGGTGCATACTATCTCATTCATGTTCCTAAAGTGGCTGTCCAGCTTGCATAAACCATGAACATTGATGGGCATGTGCATGGGAGAAATTTCCCGTCTTTGCAAGAGATTTTTATTTCACAGATATTGATTGGTATCTTTCTCTAAAATTTCCATTTGCCATCTATATCCCCCAGGTTATAACATGAGAAACAAGAAAAGGATAGGACCATTGCTTGGGGATGATGGTTCTGTTAACATTTGACAGAGAAAGAGAAAGCAAAACTACTTGATTCTAATGCTTCCATCTTCCCAGCAAGGAAAAGTCATTAAACTGAAAGGGTAGGAAAAAATATCATTAAGAGGAATTTGAAGGTACAGGTTGGAGAGAGGCTAGTAAGAAAGTTGTAGCCACTTCAGTGAGGTTCTCTAGATTCAAATAAATTATTTTCCAGGATACTAATGAGCTTATAGATGTGATTATGGAATTATTATCAATAATCTTTATGACATAACGAAGAATGGGACATTTGCCAATAGGCCGAAGACAAGGAAATGTTATTCTAGTTATTGAATGAGGGGAAAGGCAGGATTCCAGACTCTGGAGATAAATATGATATCAATCCTTAGCAGAATTTTTAAAATAGATTATTTGAATAAGGAGTGTGTAATCACCTAAAATAAGGCAATAACTGGAATATAACATGGGCTTATTAAGAAAAAATCATGCAAAATTAACCCCATTTCTTTTTTTTGATCAGTTTACTAGGCTGGAGGCAGTTTAGCATAATGGATAATGCTGACCTTAGAGTTAGGAAAACCAGACTTCAAATTCCACCTCTGGAATTAACCAGTTGTGTAAGCCTAGAGAAATCATTTAATCTCTATACTTCACACTCCCTAGGATATCTTCAAAGTCATGATTTAGGTCTTCACTGATGGAGGAAGTATCTACATTGAGAGTTACCTATGCTGACAATATCACAGATCCTTTTCATGTTGTAATATTATACTAGCTTTAAGTATAGTGTATCTTGACCACAAAGGCATCTAACAAGGTTTATTATGATATATTTATAGTAGTTAAGATGGAGAAAGTTAAATTAGATGATGATATGATTAAATGGATTCATAGTTCATGGAAAAAACAAAGAATATTGACCAGTGGATTAATGTAAGCCTCTAGAGAGGTCACCACAGAGCTCTCTACTTGTTCATCTCTTTTTTTTCTGGTTTGGATAAAGACTAGAAAGCTTGCTAATTAAATAACAGAAAGCTGGGGATAACTAATTCTATGGTTGACAGTATAAAGGATTTAAAAGGTAGTGATTGGTTGGACCAATAGACCAAAACTAACAAGCTGATATTTAACCAGGTTAATTATACTAATAATACTACTACTACTACTACTAATAATAATATAGTGAATAAATGGCAAATGGTCTTGTATTTAAGTTTTAAAAAAACAGTTGCATAAGTGTGGGATGAAATATATCTTTTTAGTATTTCAATAAATGGCTGTCATCATAGGGGAGTTCATACAAAGATATCAGTGATGTCTTTTTTTATGTGACCAATAATGTGATTTAGTTACTAAAAAGAAAAAAACCCTAATGTATTTAGTATATTAATAGAAAAAGTATCTAAATCAAGGGCAATCAATAATAATCCAACTGTACTCTTTGCCTTGTTGACAAATTATTGTTGTTTGTTTAATTGAATTTTGAATTGGTAATATTACTATAACTTATTAGTTCCATGTTTTTGTCAAGGTAGCTATTGGCAAAATGAAGAGTATAAAGAAGAAGGTAAAGGGTTTGGCAATCCTGTCCAGTGAAGACCAGATGAAAAAAAAAACTAGACTGCAGAAGAAAGGACTTAGGGAGAAGTGATAGCCATATTTGAATGAATTTCATGTTCAAGTATACTTATTCTTTGTTGTAGCAACTGGTCCATCAGGACCAGTGGACAAAGGAGGAAAATTTTGCCTTAATATGCAGGAGACATTTTCAAGAATTAGATTTATCAAACAATTGAATTGGATCCTTTTCAAAGTAGTGAGCTCCCTACAAAAAAAAAAGTGTTTAAAGAGAGGCCACATGACCATCTGTCAAAAATGTTGTAGAGGGCATTTGTAACATTAGGAGGATTACAACCATTCTGGAGAGTAATTTGGAACTATGCCCAAAGAGCTATAAAACTGTGCATACTCTTTGATCCAGCAATTCCAGTACTAGGTCTGTATCCCAAAGGGATCATAAAAAAGAGAAAAGGACTGACACGTACAAAAATATTTATAGTGACTCTTTTGATAGTGGCAAAGAACTGGAAATTGAGGGGATGCTCATCAATTGGGGAGTAACTGAATGAGTTGTGGTATAAGAATGTAATGGGATATTATTGTGCAATAAGAAATGATGAGCAGGCAGATTTCAGAAAAACCTGGAAAGACTTGTATGGACTGATGCTGAGTCAAATGAGAAAATCAGGTAGGTTATGCATATGTAATCTTACAAAACACATTTCCATGTAAGTCATGCTGTAAAAGAAAACACAAACAAAAAAAAAATAAAACAAGAAAAATAAAGAAGGCAAAGAAAAAGTAATCTGTATTCAGGCCCCAACAGTTCTTTCTCTGGAGATGGATAGCATTTTTCATCTTAAGTCCTCAGAATTATCTTGGCTCATTGTATTGCTGAGAATAGCTAAGTCATTCACAGTTGGACATCTTATAATATTGCTGTTACTATGTACAGTGTGCTCCTAGTTCTGCTCATTTCACTTTGCATCAGTTCATATAAATCTTTCCAGATCTTTCTGAGAGCATCCTGCTCATCATTTCTTATAGCACAATAGTATTCCATCACAATTATATAGAACAACTTGTTCAGCCATTCTCCAATTGATGGGCATCCCCTTAATTTCCAATTCTTTGCTACCACCAAAAGAGCTGCTATAAATATTTTTGTACATAGTGGTCCTTTTCCTTAAAGTAATTTTCTTTTTTTTTTATTCTAAATTCATTCATTTATTTATTTTTCCCCTGTTACATGTAAAAACAATTTTTAACATTAGTTTATGAAACTTTGAGTTCCAAATTCTCTCCCTTACCCCCTCCCCAACCCCACCCACATTGAGAAGGCAGGCAGTTCAATATAGGTAATACATGTGTAGACATGCAAAACATATCCATAATAGTCATGTTGTAAAAGAAAACATAGGAAAAAAACCCAAGAAAAATTAAAAAAAAATTTTTTTTAAAAGTATGCTTCGATGTGTATTTAGACACCATCAGTTCTTTCTCTGGGGATGGATAGCATTTTTCATAAGTCCTTCAGAGCTGTCTTAGATCATTGTATTGCTGAGAATAGCTAAGTCATTCACAGCTGATCATCTTACAATATTGCTGTTATTTTGTACACCATTCATTTCACTTTGCATCAGCCCATACAAGTCTTCCCAGGTTTTTCTGAGAATATCCTGCTCATCGTTTCTTATAGTACAATAGTATTCCATCATAATCACATACCACAACTTGTTCTGGCATTCCTCAATTGATGGGCATCCCCTCAGTTTCTAATTCTTTGCCCCAAGAAATGAACTGTTATAAATATTTTTGTACATTTAGGTCCTTTTCCTTTTTTTTTTTTAATCTCTTTTAGGATACAGACCTAGTGATGGTATTGCTAAGTCAAAGGGTATGCATGATTTTATAGCCCTTTAGCTCTACAGAATGGTTGAATCAGTTCACACCTCTACCAACAGTGCATTAATGTCTCATTTTTCCCACATCCCCACCAACATTTGTCATTTACCCTTTCTATCCTATAGGTCTGAGTTAGTCTCTCAGAATTGTTTTAATTTGCATTTCCCCAATCAGTAGTGAGCTAGAGTATTTTTTCATATA